AATCATTCAGAGGCTAAGGATGTTTCCCTAGGGATCTGGCTAACAAAAAACAAGACAGTCCGCTTTTACAGAGATGCAAACCTTTGATCAGTAGATCACTCTTACTCACTGAAAAACCAGATGGTGTTGTTGGCTCTTTCAAGAATCATGTAAAATGGCAGCAGAAATTGAAACACAGTAACCCATTGAGATGAACTGTGATTTCACGTGTCTTCCCTATTCTTGAACATCAGATCCCTGAGGTCAACTCACCATGGAGACAGAACTCAGAGCTGGGCTTTCCGCAGCTGCCATAGTGGCCATTGTGTGTAACTCAGTAGTAGCTGTGCTTATTCTCATTCTCTTTGTCATACTCTACAAGGCCTGCAAAATTCCCTCCTGTCCGGAAAGGGCTCCGGTGCTGGCAGAGACTCAGGAGCCACGGATAACTGAGCAAAAATACTTATTAACTGCAGCGTGAAACTGAAAAACGTGAATACAGGGCTGCTGCTGCTTAAGTTCACTGGGGCTTGAAGAATCTTTTTATGGTTGAGCCCCCTTCTTCCCTATATTTAAGGTCCAGAGGAGCGCTTTTCATCACAGGGCCCAGGGCATTTCTGATTGTCCCGCTAAATGTGAAATGAACAAGTAAAATGTGCATGTACTCTACATGAATTTTTGGAAAACCACGCAATTGGTAGGAATTGGAAATTTAAAAGATTCTAGTTTGCAAAAGGATCTCAAAAATAGACACACTTGTCAGCCAGTGAGGACAGTATGGTTTGTTCAGCAGTGTTCAGTTCAGTTGTTCAAGTTACCCATCAAACATCTAAAATGCCTGATTCAATTGTGGTTTTACTTTGTTGCATCTTTTTACAATTTATATTTGTACAATTCTCTTCGCTTACTCTATGGTAAATCTGTCAAAAAGCATGCTATTTTCAATTGGTGAAAGACTAAAATATTTTTATGAATGCAGAGCTTGTGTTTAGATGCATGTAATGCATTTCACTATTTTAACATGTTTTATACTAAAATAAAATGCCATAGAGACTCGCTGGTCATTTGTTTCTTTGTCTGAAATTAAGGAGAAAACAAAGTTATAGATCATGCACATTGAATTCAATGATGTATGCAGTATATTGAAACTGACATTTATTTAGCACCAACTTTTCCTCATATAGATCTGTATGTGTTTGTTTGCTTGTGTGTGTCTTAAGTCTTGCACTTGTTTGTGTGTTGGTGATTTGCAACTGGAGGATCATTACGTAAAGACAACAAAGCCTCTTATCTATTTTAAAGTGCTTGGACACAGTCCATCTGTTAGTCTATTTATTGCTCTTCACTGGACATCTAGTGACTTTGTGCTATCTTGGATCAGTTCCCTGTTCTCTTGCCCAAACCGAACTACCAAAATGGGCCTAACTTTCAGCAAAGGGCTATGTGTGGACTGCTAATCTCCAGTTCAAGTTATAAACTACAGTATACTGTATCTCTCATCAAAAATACATAAATGACCAAGAAAATGGGGGAATTATTGTCTGAAAGAGGGTAGCAGAAGTAGGAGATAAGAGAAGTAGGAGATAGAGAAACTGTGAGGGGGCGAGGAGAGGGAAAATACTTATATAAAGTTGAATTTGAGCATGTTTATGTTGCGTGAAACCTCACAGGGCACCTATAGTCTTGAGAACTGTATTGGGCTTTGGCTTTAACCTCCTCTATTGTTTATATAGGTCAGTAGGGGGGAAAATGAACAGCCAACAAACACGTTTCAGCATGCAGGCGTTGTTAAGAAAGGTTTTCTATCTTAAAGTCTCTGTAGCTTTACATCTCATACAGCTTATGAGACACTCCAGGAGGGCATAAGAGCCAGGGTTGCCAGGATTGTGTAACAAAACTAGCCCAATGAACCCTCGGTAACAGTTTACAGTTTTTTTCAACTGCTTAAACACATTTTCAAAACGTTGCCTCTTTTTTTTTTTTTTTTTTTTTTTTTTTTCTTTACACACAAATCCAAGAATTGCACACACAAAATGCAAAATGCCTCACATCTCTTGCAAAATGAAGCACTGCATTCAAAATATCACAAACACATCTCAAAAGCAAACATTTGTCTTATGTTGCAAACACCTTTGCCATAATATTATATTTTTAGATATATATACACACAGTTATTCAAAACCTAAAGCTCTTCTTTCATGAGCTCCTATGTACATTTCTGTACAAGATTGAAAGTAATTGGCAGAGAAATGTTGAAAAATTCACGGTGAACACGAAAGACAGATTGAAACCAAACTATTTATTTTTTTACTGTAAGCATTTGTGGTTGTGAATACAGTATTACACAGTCCGAAAAATCTATAACTTGACATTTGGCCTATTTATAGGCCTATTCTAAAGCCATGATTGGATGGTGTTAAGTAAAGCAATGAGTGTTTGCACATGTGAGGAGTTAGTGTGAGGCTCTGATGAATTAGTGTGGCATTTTGATAGGTTGTGTTTGAAAAAGGAAATCAAGATTCTACCTGTTAGATTTTAGATTTGTGTGTTGTGGTTTGCAAAAAGTGTTTTATGAAATTGAAAACTGAGTTTAAGGCCGAGAATTAGTGTATGGTTTTGCAGATTTGGTGTGTGGTTCTGGTGTTTTAGTGTCAGGTTTCAGAAATTGTGTGACAAGTAAGGATTGTGTGTAAGCAGTTGAAAAAAACTGTAAAAGTAAACCGTGGCCTTGGCAACCCTTAAAGAGCTCAGCCATGTGAAAGGTCAATGGTAAAATTGACCATGATTATAACAAATACAGCACACCAAATGATTTTTACTGTCAGATTTGTTGGGAAAAAACTTGTACCTTTAGCGTGTCATTGAGTAATACCCTCAAAGGTGCACCTTTGTGCATTATCAACCTTGTACACTGGTGTTCAAAGATAATAAAGATAGTGTCTGTTAAAATCTATATGTCTGACAACATCCTATTTAAGTGATGATCAAATGTTACCAAGTGTTTTTTAGATCAGATTTAGGCTTTTTTTTCTTCAGTTATCTTAACTGGAAATAGTTTGACATAACTGCAGCTTCTATATGAACGTATACAAGCTTAAGTCATGATTTAAATATTTAAAGCAAAGTTGAGACATTGTGCTATTTGTGTATTACCAATTCAAAATAATTACTTTGAGGGACTGATGTTTTGTTTGCTATAGACATGTGACTGGACTTTCAGAAATATATATATATAGTCCAGTCACATGTCTATAGCAAACAAAACATCAGTCCCTCAAAGTAATTATATATATATATATATATATATATATATATATATATATATATATATATATACTGTATATATATATATATATATATATGTAGTAGCTTTAATTGTCACTTCAAAGACATATTCAAAGTAGTTTTGTTATCCACATAAAATGGAGTTGTTTTCTTCCTGTCTTTTTAAAATTTATATATATATATATATATATATATATATATATATATATTTTTTTACAAATTACGACTTCATTCTTTTGGTGTGGTTTGCAGAATTTGATTATTTCTGTGATTGTTTTGAAGGAAAAACTGTAGTAATGACACATAGTAGCTTAAGAACTGATTTGCCCTGAGGTAAAGTAAAGTGAAGAATTACATAACAACATTACGGGCTACTGGAATAAAATCCAGATTACTAATGAACCATAATCTGCATCGCCATCTGTGATGTCATGGTTGCATAACCTATATGAAACAAACATACATGATACATTTGCCCCTGAATTAAAGGCTGTCTTTATGTGACAACTGACATGGATAAGAGCAAGCATATATTATATGTTTATTTGTAGTACATCTGACTGCAAAGCTTTTTTTTCATACAGATAATCTTATAACAGCTGGTATGGGGTTTCACATGGGCTATTATTATAGATTACATTTTAACACCTTTAGAGGCTATCAAAGAGATAATGAAATCCAAAGAAATATCTCACAATATAGCAACCATTATTCATTTTCTTTTTGCAATGGTGTTTGTAATGTTCATACAACAATTATTGCATTTCCCCCCAACCTACAGTATAATACAATTGCAATCAATTATGCTATTTTATATACTTAATAACCATTAGGGAACCCCATCATTACATTTATCGTGATTATAGTTTTAAAATGCAGGAATGTATTATTTAACGTACATTTAATTCTATAAGTTTAGTAACACTTCTGCAGAAGAAGCAACATTTAATTTTCATCTTACAATGTTAATTGAAAAGGAGTTCGACATCAATGTCACAGCGAGCGGAATGATTCTTTTCATAGCATACAGCTTTGCCTGGTTAGAAATGTGATTAATTTCTGAAATAATCCTCAGTAAGATTGTTTTTTTTTATGCCTTGTTGATTAGCGCCATCTACTGGCAAACACATATCTACGACTATAGGCAGGAATATCATTGGAAATATGCTAGCAGTTCAGCATAATTAAGATAATAGGGAATAGTGGCCTAAATCATACGATTTATGGACATTATACAGTTTTACTCCTATTTTGAGCTAATTTTGTTAACATTTAGAATAATTCAATTTCTAGTCAATGCTTGATTAAAAGTTATATTGGGTTGGGTTGGAATTAATGGTTAGAAAACAGGTGAGGAAAAAACAAAAGAGCAAATATCAGACAAGACATTGGCTATTTTTCAGATTGCTCTCATACTGGGCTGGCCTAATCAGGCAGTTATTATTAAGGTTAATATCCAGAAGCTGTCCAGGGTCCTGAAGTCACTTGCTTTGTGCCTGGTAATGTATTGGACAGGTGTATGGTTAGGGTTAGCAGCCCACCTCTTTTCAACACTGTAAAACACAAATGGGGACACTGTAGATCCCGTTTATAAGGAATACGTTGTTTGCATTCATTTTATTCTAATCCCCATTCGACATCCCTGATTACAGGTTCGACATAGACAGCAAAAACAGAATCGTCCCACACACAATCTTGCCATCTCGAGGTTATTCAAACACCCACAGACAACCCTGCCTGCACAATGTCTGTGTCTGATGCTAGTTTTGGGTGGAGCAGACATCGCTCGATGGCGTTGAGTGGGGCGGAATCCGTGGTGCTGCTCGCGTCTCGAGACTCGTTTCTCCCGGAAGTGGGTGGTTAAGTCGCCACTCGGTCACTGCTGGCTAACGAGCGATCGCTGGGATGAAGGAGAGTCGGGGATATTCTTGGGGCTGACAAATATCCGACGACACAGTAGTGAAATTTAATTTTTAACCAATTAGTTTGCGGTATATCCGCAGAAATCCACCTCGAACGCTCACAAAAAAGGCTCAGACACCCCGCCGCCAAGATGATGGAAGAAATTGACAGATTTCAAGTCCCGACTGAGGCAGAGATGCAGCCTTTTGTAAGTTAAACCAGATCGACTCTTTAACAGCCGATTAAAGCACAAATGTTGTCAGTATGCGGTTTTAATAATATTTTGATGGGCGAATTGTAGCTTAATATGAACTAACGACCCGTGAAATATTTCATTAGTCTCATGTTGTGTCATCACAGACCGTTATTTCTTCAAAAAATGGTAAATATCTATATTACGAGAGATCGATGATGGTCTCTTCTGTGTCTGATGTGAATTTTTGCTTGCAAATGTATGGATGCTATATGATGATGCTGCGCACTGAGACTGTTTGTGTCTCCCTGCATCGAAAACAACATCAGCTTCATTTTATTTTATAACTTCAGCTCGAGTTGTTCTTCTATCTCTTCGTACTTCCATCGTAACGCTGTCTGTAACATTTATTTGAAACAATGTTAAATACTGCGTGATCTTTCTTCAATCTCATAGAGGCCTTCACATCCTTTTGCTTCATCATGCAGAATACGTGCTATGGTACCTGAATAATGTCATACCCCTCCCACCCATCCTTAATTCATCAATAATTCTCAGGAAAATTACCAGCTCTGTTCGAAGAGACATCTGGGTGGCCCATATTTAACCAATGACCCATACAGCAGATGCTCGTGTTCCTCTGGTTAGATCTAGATCAATGGTTCTCATTTGGTTTTGCTTCAGAACCCAGATTTTACATCGGTCATTAAGTGGAGACCCAACACAAAACCCAAACTGTTTATATACAGATGTAAATAACATGTCCTTAAGATCAGAAGTGGAAAATTATTCACATGAACTGCATAGATCTAATAATATGCAAAAGTATTAATGTGACAGAATTAATTGAAAAATTGACAGTGTTGTTTTCAAAATTTCTGTTGAAATTCAATTATGTCATGCTCTCTGTGCTCAACACACAAAATATATTGTGATTGGCACAAACCATGTTTATTCTCGGTGCAAGTAAACCAATATTTAAGGTAGTCTGGGTATGCAACCCTTCTGCGACCCATTTTTTGTCATGACCCAGTGGTCTGGTGTATATTATATTATATTATATTATATTATATTATATTATGTGCATACAATATGTAAAGTTTTTGTGATCAACGTACCAAAATGTCTTGTACTGTGCCTATGTTTTTCCAGTTTTAGTAGATTTAGGCTTTTGTAATATTAAAATCGGTCATAATTCTTTATCCGTTCCTTATTTGAATTTGGCAAATTCTAAGTTTTGCTTCTGCAAATGTTGTGTTTCCTTTCACATCAATCCCAGGGTGTGTTTTACTGTTTTAGAATGAGCTGACATAAATCATACAGCAGACATAAAGTGATGCTTTACTCATTCACATTGATGGAAATGGACAGAGCAAAGCTCTGAAGAACAGACATCTCATCAAATTGACTTAATCGATAAAACTAGACAGTCCTGACACTTCTGTCTTGTTCACCAGGATCCAGCATCATCGACCACATCAGAGGCAGACTCAGATACCAGGGAGAATGAACCTGCCACCCTGAACTATAAACCTTCTCCTCTCCATATGAAGATAGGTTTGTCCATACTGCCAAATGCCAATGCAATTTTTTTGTGCAATTATGCATTATTATATGACATGATTTTTCTCTGTATAGACAAACAGAGAGAGCTGGTTAGGAAAGGTTCGCTGAAAAATGGTAATGCAGGAAGCCCTGTCAATCAACAACCCAAGAAAAATAATGTGATGGCCAGAACAAGGTACAAACTAGAGAAAATAATCACCGTTTTCACCATGAACGTTGTCTGTCTTTTAAGTTAATCCAAAACAGACTGCTAACTCTGTATTTCTTTCTCAAACCAGGTTAGTGGTTCCCAATAAAGGCTACTCTTCTTTAGACCAGAGCCCAGATGAGAAACCTTTAGTTGCTCTAGACACAGACAGGTAAGCTCTTCACACATCCCCCTTATTTATTTACGTCCCCATTTGCCACGGGCTTCAAACTCACTGTTTTCACTTGCCTTTGCAGCGATGACGACTTTGACATGTCTAGATATTCCTCATCAGGATACTCATCAGCCGAGGTGAGGTCTCTATGGGAACAGGTACCTATGAACTCTGGTTAATGTATTAAGCCCCATACCACAAGCATCATGACTGTGGATTTCTTTCTCAAAAGTCACTCACAATCTTTTATGCACTAAATTCCCTTTCATCTCTCCTTGTTTTACTTTAAAGGTCACCATTGTCATATTCGTGTTGTTGTTATACATGTCATTGATTCATTAAACCAATAAATGTACCAATCAAGCTATTGAACCAACCCTGTTGTCGTATTAATCTATCAAATAACTGCTTCCAGGAAAATCAAACGAATTACTATGATTTAATTAGTGACGGTTATGCAGCACGGCCTGACATGCTGTTCTTTGCTTCCTGCAGCAGATAAACCAGGATCTGAACATCCAGCTACTGAAAGATGGATACAGGCTGGATGAGATCCCTGATGATGAAGACCTGGACCTCATACCGCCCAAATCCGTCAACTCCACCTGCATGTGCTGCCAAGCCACCTCCTCCACTGCTTGTCAAATCCAGTAAACCCATCACCTTTACTCCTCCTCGTGCTCCCTCTCTCTCTCTCTCTCTCTCTCTTTTCCATCCCTTATTCCCGTTCATAACCTCCGATAAGACATCTAATCAATATTACAGTGGGAAATGTACAGTACAGTAAACGTTACGATAAACATAGTGTACAGGAAAATGTGAACACACACACATAGGCCTACACAAAAACGCATTACATGTGCTAACACACACATACACACATTTACTCTAACATACGATTATTAACATGACTATTATTGGTTGCTTCCTCCTATGGCAGGATATGCACTGTTTTGCTAATACGCTAGGAGAGTCTGCTCACTTTCACCTCCTAGTCTGCATTGCGTTATACTGTAAAAGTGAAAGTAGAACAAATAAAGCTTTAAAACGGCTTTAATTGTGATTTAAAAACAACAACTTGATGTTACAGAGAGTTTGAAATAGCTTATCCACAGAATTATCTGCTTTCATATTGCACTCATTGCATTAACGTTGTCGTTAGGGTAAGATTTGATTTCCGTACGGATCTGGTTGGATGTTTATTGTTCGTGGCTGCTATTGAGGCTATACTTGGGTTCGTTTTTTGTTGAACATTTTGCATGTTGGTGCATTCGTACTGCAGCGCTAACAGTAGCCTTGTCTGGCATGCACCTGGGCATCACACTTTGTTTTGTTTACTCTTGGTATGTCACATACGTGTATTTAATTGAATCATGTTTGAAACTACGCTGGATTTGAGATGCGAATGTGTCATGAAAGGAAAGGCAATATTCTTCTTTGAGAATTTGATCTGATTGGTCAACTAGGCCTGGACTGTTGTTCTTTTCACAGTACCTCTCACTACAGACCTAAGAAGATACAAATTATTACATGAAGCCCTTTTGTGTCTCTCAAAGCAGTTTTTTAAAGGTCAGAAATCACTGGGTATGATTTAATCTGTTATGACATTTTCTGTTCTGTTTAGACAGAATGTCCAAACATGTTAGATAGTTAAAGCTTTCTTACGGTAAGTATTGTTTTATTCAGGAAGATGCTCAGATATAACAAACTCGAAGGCACCAAAGTATGTTTATGCTCCTTGTTGGAATCAATTGTTTTACCCTGGGTCCATTTTCATACGATCACTGCATTTCATGGAAATGGTTACTTTTTCAGACATTGTGGGCTGTTTAAAAGTACTGTTTTCTGCTGGTCTTTGGAAATAAACTATGAATGTTAATGTTGCTAAAATGATCAAATTCCCTGGTCTATCTTAACATCCATTATTATTATTAAAAATGATTCAAGCTGTCAATGATGAACCTGCACTGTTAATCTACACAGATTTTACCCTTCAATTCAGCTTTGACACATTTTATGTTGTCTTTACACTCTACATATTGTATTGATCAAGTTGTATCTCAAAATGCAAATTGCTTTCATTTGAACTGCTCATATTCACTTCTTAGTGAATTTTAAAACAGTGTAATGACCTGATGTATTCAATTCAAGCATAATCAAAGGTGAGCATTTGTTGGACAAAAGCTGTGTTTTTATGTTATAAATATGTTAATTATGTGAGAAAGTCCATTTATGTACTAACAATGTTGTTATTGGTTTCAGTGATATCAATAAAAGCAGACCTGAATTACACTTCTCTTTGTTTTAATTAGTTATCCTGTTTACACATAATTTACAGGTAATGAACGATGAATGTTGCAAAAATGATGTAAAAATACAGAATATATAGTGGCGCGAAGTCTGTAAGATGCAGATAAACACATCACAACATTAGGATTCACACTACGCAACTGAGAAGACTTTTGTAAACAACAGCAAAGTATTTATCTTTAGTTTGCTAATTAAATTCTGCAATCTAAGTTAAGAGTACTAAACCTCAAAACAGAAGGCACAGGTTGAGCATTTTTACAATGATTGTGTTTCAAATGACCTGCTTCTTGAATTCAAGCTCACAACCTATTAAACATATGGAACATCTGGAAAATAAATTAGCACAGATATTCTGTGATGATAAAAAGCGTAATATTTGTTGATCAGTTATCATAACATAAAATATAAAAATACAACTTGAATAAAGATCTAACAGATGCATTGACTATTATTCACATTCAAAATTCTGTTTGTGCTTGTCTTTTAAATGGCTGAGCATCACGGCAGATTCAAACTAAATCTACATTCAAATAACATTACTTATTATTTCAAGTATTTCAACAGCTGAATATGAATCTGAAAACCCCATAAATAAAACTAAATAATAAAAGAATATGTTACTCAGGTTCATTGACTGAAAGTAAATACTATAGGCTACTATTAAAACTAAAGGTAAATTACAATCTCAGTTCTGTATGGTTCAGCTGTGCAATATTTGGAGATTAAAGGCACAGATCTTGCCTCGTGTTATACCATAACACGACTGTAGATGGCGATGGTAAACTATTAATGAGTGAAACTGTTGGCGGGCCTCACTACATCACTTATGAAGGCTGATCAAAAACAATGTAAAGCTTTAAAAAAGGACATATTGAAAGTGTTCTGAATGAAGAGTATTTTCAATGCTCTAGCTTAAATGTTACATTATTTTGCATAACTGATTAGAATATGCAAATAATTACTTATCATTGCTTAAAACAAAAGTGTGATTGTGTTGACAACATGACATTTTCATAGGTACCCAGAAGTTTTAATATAATTCAAAAACTGTCTTCAACACTAAAGTCAACCCCTGCCCCCCTAAATATCACCAAGAACAAAAAATATTCACAGCGATTATTTTAAAACATATTCACTTCCTATACTGGACCACTAAAAATGTTGACACTTCAACCTGATAATTGAAATGTGTCTGTTTCACATAATATATCTTTACACAGAATCTGTCCATTTCCCTTTGTCACAGTGGGTATGTAATAATCACCTGGCTCCTCTCTGTTGACATCAATCCCATCTTTGTGATTTAATGTAAAATATCTGTAATTTATAGATTAAATGATACTGTAAATATCCTTACTCATTTTAAAAATAACCCTTGGGACTTTATTACATTATTTCTGCCAAAAATGCATAGTTTCTCTCCATTCCATTGAGAAGTCCCATTTTCAGTCTTTGTCTTGGAGTACTCCTGCAAGCATATTTTGTAAGACTCCATTACGATGTTTTGTATGACTCCACCTGATGATATCTTTTATCATCAGTTAATGGATATCATTATTATATAATAGATAGATTTCATATCAGATAGATAGTTCATAGATGTCATTAATCATTAATAAAGGCTCTAAGACCTGAATTGGGTGTGTCAGGTAAGAGAGACATCCAAAATGTGGGGGTCACGTAGTTGTTCAAACACCAGCAGACATGTGATCACTGGAGCCAGAGGACGATGTGGATGTTGAAGAGTGTCGTCTTCGTCCGGCGGGACCCTGGAGCATATTGGGGTGAAAGCCGGCGTGTCTACGGGCGTGCTTGGTTAGGTGATCGCTTCGCATGAAGCATTTGTCGCAGAGCGGGCACATGAAACGCTTCTCCCCTGTGTGTGTACGAAAATGTCGTGTCAGTTCATCTGACCGGGAGAATTTCTTGGTGCAGCCTGACCAGGTACACTGAAAGGGCCTCTCACCTAAGGACACACACACACACACACACACAGGAGAAATGTAAGGCCCTACTGATAATACAACTTAATCTAGTTAGGCTATAACAAAACCTAATCGACACGGATTCATTGGTGACTTGTTAGATGCTGTTGTGTCAAAGTAGAGACAACGTTTTAAACGACCGTTACTTTCGTTGATGAGCTTTAAGAATTCGCTGATTTTTTATTTAGTTATCGACGTTTTGCACTGGATGTAAACGCACTTATTGGGACTGGGAGGGGCTGCGCTTGGCTACAATGCGGCACCACGTGCTGGATGTTTACAACTGTGAGATCAGGAGGTGTGTACATCATATGACGTCATCGTTACTTTAAGTTATAGGATAGGCCCATAGATGCCTCATTTGCGGCTGTAGGAGTCTGTCATATTGGAGCGGTCAAAGCTAGTCCGTGGACATTTGAGAGCAAATTGACTGGGCGTCTGCAACCGTAGTTAGACGCATGAGCATGAATATATCTGCAATTGACTTCAGCAGATGATTTTGCTAAACTAACACAATACAACAAGACGAAGGCGTCAACTAAGACGAGATTAAAAAAAGTTACCATAGTAAAAGTAAAACCATTAAAAAGTACAATAGTAAAAGGTATTGAGTTAATTCAAACAAAGCCACAAACCAACACATTCTCACCTGTGAAAGATTGTCCGATTTCTTCAGAAATTTAAACATCTGCGGCTTCACAACCAGAAGCTGCGCAATGTTGTGGCATCATTGATTCTTACTGTGAGTGACGACTGGCTGACCGTTCCAAGATGGCGGCTGCGCCGACGTGTCTGGAGCGGTCGAAATTGTAATCTATGTATACATTACTATGGACCTTATGAGCCAGAGAAACAAGCGTGCAGCCATCTTTAGAACTGTGTTTGAACTTCCGTTATTGCGGTAGTCCTGTTCTATGACATCGCTGTCGAAGAGTGATTAGTTGGTGAAGTGGATTTACTTAGCCTATTGAAGAGTTAACGAGTTATCATGAGCATTGTAATATTTGGAGCGGATGTCATAACAAATGTCAGTAGACCGGGAAGATTTTAAAACTAGCGGTTCATTAATTTATCCGTACGATCTTACTTGCATGTCAAGGAAATAAAAACAGGAAGACAAAAGTCAACGAGTGCACTGATGAAAAGGGGCGGGGGTACACAAGGTCTATATGAGGTTAGTGAGTGTCGCATTGATGTATGTGTGGACCATCAAGGATCGACCAATGACCACGACTAGCCTACTAGAATATAATTCAAAAGAACCGAACATATTCGCCATAACAAAATCATTAGATTGCAAATTAGCAAGTCTGAAATGATAATAGGTTAGGCTACCTCCAGCAATTTCCCGCCACACGATTACGCAATTTTATAATCACACCGTGACCTGCATAACAATGTGGACTAAGCAACATGTTTGCTCTCATTTTGGTTAGAAACATTGTGTACTGTTCCACCCTGATGGGCACCCTGAGCGCTCCGCCTGCGGTTACACCCACTGTTACACGAGTGGCAGTTCCTGAAACCGAACTGTTCCTGAGAACACGCGAGCGTGGGGCGTAATAACAGACGGCGTTCAAGCAAAACGAACAGTCGGTATCGAATTACTGGCATTAGTTAAGTAATTGTGTACATATAAGCACAACATTAATTCAACCGTGCTCATTTCATACCGGTGTGTACTCTGAAGTGCGCCTTGAGATGGGACGATTTGCCGTATATTTTACCACAGCCAGCATAGGGACAACAGTGTCTCTTCTCAGCTGATACATGCAGTCTGTCACAGTTCCGTGTCCTTTTCACCCTGCTCGCGTTCTGTCTGCATTTCTCCCGGTTTTCCTTTACGCCGGTTTGATTCTCCGCATCACAGTCCACCATACGCTTGGTGCTGATTCCGCTCGGGTTACACTGATTTAGGTCCAGCAGAATCATTGCGACCATTAACAGAGTCCGACTCTCTTGACTTTCCTCAGGTCCCTCCTCGCCGGCTAGTTTGTCTGTGCGGTCAGAGCTCGATCCGTTTGAGACCGACTCCAAGGACCTTGCAGCAATTTCAACGTCCGTCATTGTAGTTACACAAACTGTGCTGTAACTGTAGAAGTCACCAGTGCCTCAAATACTTCAAAACAAAACTCAGGGCGCAGTGTGGATGCTCATCATATGGGCATCGGGGTACAGACGACTCCAGTAAACGTGGTTTCACGCCTACACGTGTTTTTCCCAATGTGACTGGGATGAAATAATGTTCCCGGCGAAGGATAAAGGAAAATAGCTTGTGTCGCTTCTTGCGTCTACACGCACACGAAGCATCCAGGTGTCTATTCTCAATATTATTTCAAGAACACCAGAAAGCGTGGAAACTTTGCGTAGGATAGGCTATACTCTCTTCTTCCCTCACAAGTGCGTCAACTCTGTGCCGCTGTTTGCTGTTCTGTTCCTATATCTGAAAGAAACTACTTCGCGGAATCCCAAGGTGTCATCATAAAGCTCGCAGCTGATTGGGCATAAGCCATGAGCGACGCTCCGAATGCACTACCAGGAATCACCTAGGCAGCATGAGATTGAAGAGTCATGGATCCAATAGTGTTCAGAGTTTGAGACGGAGGGCGTGCTAACATAGCAGGAACAGTAGTAGCATGTTGTGCCTCCTTCAGAATCAGCAGAGGGTGCACTGGTTGATACAGTTGAGGACACTGTTTCTAAAAAAAGTAGTAGACGTTTGAATTAATCAGACTTAGCATTTGTCTATCTGACATTTAGCTACAGTTAAACCCAATGTGGATCAGTTTCACGTTGTATCGCGTTGTTCAGCAGGCACGCAGGGAAAAAATACAAAACATAGGCATCAAATCAGTAAATAAACCATGTAAGAAAGGTAGATAGAGATATTAGTGTATGGGCCATTGCACCAAATAAGTGCTTTTTCAATTTTAAAGGGGACTTTTAAAAGTAAATTTCTGTTAAACTATAAACATTGTAACATATAACAAAATAGTATATTTTACAATATGCCTATAAAATAGTATATTTAGTATATTTTATATATTATATTTTATAAATTATATATAGCCTATATAATTTATTAATCATTTTTAATATTTTATAATTTATCTATTAATTGAAAATTATATAGGCCTATCACTCTTTCCGCGTGGAATGACCTGTAGGCCTATATCAACTGTATGAACTGTATATCAGTGGATATGATTGAGGGTGTTCATACGATGAATGTTCAAATGAACTCTGCTTCACTGGGTCACGACCAACCACAACAATAAATATCTATTTCTTCGAATAATTTTAGGCCCCCTATCAGCGTTTGACATGCCTTTTTTAATCTCGCAGCCTTCATGGAAATTGGGTGCACGGAAGAATTGAGCAATTGTTCGATAGCTACACACGACACTAACACGTTTCATTTTCAACAGTCCCTTTCCTTAAATAAAGCGTGCATTTGAGCAGATGATTTTGTGCTAGTAAAATAACTTTTGAGGCGGGCCCTCGTAAAGGGCCATTGGAGAAGGGGAAATTAGCCAATGAGAGCAAACGTAACACGACTCTTTTCAGAGTAGCCTAATCTCCGAACTCGCGGCAGGTTCACACTGAGAGACAGTTCTAGGAAATTATGGGAACAACGCAAACGACCCTATATTTCAAGAGTTTGTCCATAGACATGAACGGCATGAGCTGATTATGAATATGATGACCAAAAAGCATACATTTCACAATAGAAGGACAACATGAGGTTATCAACAATCTTAACAACCCCTTATGCAACATAGGCCTAAGAATAATATTGTGATAATCTAAATAGTTCGATTTTCTTATTAGATAGCCTATTTCTAAACATTTAGAACCATAACACATTTTTATTAAGAATACTTGGTTATGGGCTCTTGACATAGGCTATTTAGCTACTTTTCTAGGTAAGTGTCAGTGAATGATATTTCATCATTGTTTTGTTTTACTGTTTAAAAGACGACGCATAGTGGCCTAACATGTTAACACGTCTAATAAATCATATCGTTTCTAACAACGCTGTCAGTACGAGATGGGTCACGTTGATGTTATTTCGCTCTATCCAGCCCACACACGTGTCTGTTTTTGTGGAACAGAATGTACCCTGAACTAGAAGTGAACTTGAACGCCTCCCTACGATGCAGAAAGGATAGTGCAAGCAACACTTCCGCTCGAATGCAGAGTCATGCTTGTGCTTAAGCAGAACAGCACTCCGAACTCAAGAAGGATCTGTTCTTTGGGATTCCAGGATGTAAACTACCTAGCACACTTAAGGAGCTTTCTAAAAAACATACAGGCAAACAAATCCTTAATAGACTACTGATTTAGATTAAATTAATCAAATAAATACCGGTAGGCTACAAATCAAATAAATAATTTGGATGATCTTTTTCAACATGATCACTTATTTTTGGGTGCAACCTTTTTTTTTCCACAAAATGAGAAATTCAATTAAATTTGGTTCATACGGTCATTTACAAGTCAAATTTACATTATAAAATATGTATCATATTTATATTTAAAATAAATAAAGTTGTTAAAAAAAACAATTTCTTTAAAATGTATGAAATTTATCAGAATTTGACATTTCAGGTAGCCTACAGTATGTTTTAAAAAAAATAATTCAACAATCATAATGAAATAATAAATCAGATGCCATTATCTTGAAATAATGTAACTTTTTCGTAATCCATCACACTGACCTTAATAATTTCCCCTAATAACAAAATGAACCACAATGATGTTTTGAATTATATATATTCTTTTATTTGTTAATACATGCCAAACATCTTATTCACATTGAGGAATACAGTATACACATTTGTATTTGCATCCAAATACTTAGCCTTCTTCTACTGTAGGACAAGAGTCCTCAGATCCCTGCTCTCTGTTCTCTCATATCTCTCATTCAGCTCGTATCATTTGGAAGAACAACATGCATTTTAAAGACACTATAAGTAAACTGAGACCTTTCCGTTCAAACTACAGCATTATTGCAGAAAACATGTGCTTGGACTTGTTAGCAGAGAAGTGCTTATAAGTTTAAAAAGAAGTGGCGGGAGGAGAAACTTGACTAAAAGTGGTATACAATTCACAACCTTTTATGCTACAGTATAGGAAAATATTAAGAAAATACTGTACATAAAGTTATAAGTCATCATGTCATTTTGGCACACTGGGTAGGTTGTCATAGTGTAATGTCTTCTATCAGACACAGAGACGTTCTCTTAAAATCCTATGATATTAAACAATTTTTTTTTTACATCCACCAGAAAGATTTACAGATCATATACAGAACATTTACATGTGAAAAAAACAAGTGTCATAAATATGCTCACTCTTCTATCGCAAACAAGAGAGCGAAACAGAGGATAGTGAGAGAAACTTGCATTCAGTAACTTAGATCAAATGCCCTCTCTGTCTTCTTTTGCTGGAACCAGTCCAACAAGAGGGTTTGTTAAATGACATTACCCTAAATAATAGAGCATGGACATGTTTTAAGGGCCCGTGTATTGTTCATGCATTCCTTTGACCTGTTTTAAGGCGCTTTGCAGTATAATCACCTTGTAGGAGTGTTATCGCCTTCCTTGTGAAGGAGAGCAGGCCCAAATAAGAAACGATGTTTAAAATCATATAAAATGAAGCAAATCTGATAAACATATTGAATGTCATACTAATATTGATTTGAAAATAATTGGTTATTTGAAAACCACAGTGATTAGAATTACTGCTATGCACAAAAAAATAATGCCATTTCGTATTTTATGTTTTTGGTTCACATACAAGCTCTAATACCAAATGTACATTTTTTTTTACATTTCAGAACACTGTGACTGTAATAATGTTAAATCTCTTAGCAGTATTGCACATCAGTAAGGCAAATAAAATACATCCAATGAGTGATGCATGTGGTGGAAATGGAATAGGTGGAGTAATTAATTTACTAAAAAGTGACTATACTGAATATAGTTTACGCCAGAGATACAAATGCCGTTTCTGTATTGCTTTAAACTGCTCTGTTTCATTTGATATAAGTTAAACAGCCATTTAAAACAGTGAATTTTAGAGCAGTAAATGTTCTACTTTATTTAAAGTGACTGATTGATTTATCTGAATTAAATTAATTGTTAAAAACGGAGTCTGTCCAGATCTCCTTATATCCTTCTGAATTCCCACTATGATAAATCAAGTCAATAAAATGATATATACCCATTAAGAATAAAATAGGAAGAAAATTGCCAAAGGTATATAACTTGCTGAAAAAAAGATAATATTATGTACTAGTCTTCATTATGCCCTTCCAGCATGTTAACATATTAACTCAATCCGGTTGATTAGTGATGAGACTGGTGTGCATAAAGAACTCCTGCTTTAAAGTGCATGACACTTCTTACCGACCGACCGACTCTCTGTGGCATCTTGCATAGCAAGTCAACATATAGTACCTTTTCTGTGTAAAACAACGCACTTATATAAAGACAATCAGACTTTTTGCTTTTAAATCCTTTTTGGAAAGGTTCTCTATGCATTTTAACACTTGCAACAGTCTAAAAGTATGTTTGGAATGGCATACTATCATACTACTATTACCACAGCAGCACGTATGAATGGAAATACTTAGATGTCCTGCTACATGTGCCAAATGTGCAGTTATCAATCTGAAAACACTGTGCAGGAATACTGCAGCCGACAATACAATGTGCTTGACCTTTCATTTGCAGTGTATTATTACCCCCCCCCCCAAAAAAAATCTAAATTAAACGATTTATATATGATAACATATAATACTAATGTTAGGTGACAACAATGTAGCATACTACTATTTAAAACATTTATCATTATTTACTGTTTACTTTTTCCACATACTAAAAGAGTATGCAGTATACAGTACAGTGCACTGAGCAGTATACTAGCATTCCATGCCAAACATGCTGTTAGTGTAGAGTTCAACTGGTTACTCTTTTTAAATAGGTTCAAATGGGCACCCTTTTGTGATATATTTGGAAAAATACAGACTACAAATGACTAAACGTGATCATTTAGTGCTTTAAAATTTAAGTAATCTGTTTTTTATTTATTTATATAAATTATGCACAAACTTATGCTGTATTCATATAATGTTACTGACCACTGTATGGTTATAAAGCCTTTTGAATGCAGTTGTATACACCCAACAAGGGCCTAAAAGTAAATCAGGGGTCCAAGAGGGTTAATCTTTTCATAATAAAACTATAATTATATTCTACATTCAACATCTTATGGAAGATACAGTATGCCTATGTTCGACTAATCTGCTGTGTGGGTTTAAAATGACAGAACATCAGTGTTAAAAACCTTGTCACAGTCTTTTGGTTTCAGTCGTTCAGTCGTTGGTTTCAGTCGTTTTGGAATGAAACCACCACTCTACCAGGCCTGTAGGACATATTCTCAAGTCTATGGAGAGAGAGAGAGCATGATTCATGCTGTGACAAGGGTGACCCATCTAAGCTAAAACAGTAAGTTGCATTGCAAAGTATTGTTAAGGCCTGTTCACACCAACATGAATGTTCGGCACAAAAGTTCAGTATGATTTGCACATGAGATTTGTCTGTTCAGACTAAAGTGAAAAAAAAAAAAAAAAAAAAAAAATAGCAGACAGGCGGATGTCTGATCATTCAAAATGCAAAATCACTCTTAGGTAGTAGGTGTCACTTATAGAAATGCTTATAGTTTACCCCGTTACGCAAAGTACGGCACAACTTTCCGTTTCTGACACTCACTTTTCAGAGAGACAAAAAGGAAGTCAAGCAGTATTTACATGTTTTCAAACAGCCATTCAGATTTTTTCATATGCTATGATGTTTATCAAACAACACTATAAAATATAAAAGTACAGAGACCAGTGAGCCGGTTTTAGATTCTGCCTCTGCTATTTACTGTCGCCACTAAGTCATCGTTTTATGTAACAGCAGAGGCTCTGGCCATGTGACTAAAAGCACAAATCATTTTGGTTGGCTAGTTTTCTTCACAATGCAATGAAAAATATATTAGAAGACCTCTCCAAAAATAAAAATCTGCATTGACAGCCATTCATTCGAATGAAAATGTTTATCGCACCAAACTTTCGTACCAAACGGTCGTCTTGGTGTTAATAGGCTTTTAATCTCAAAGTTTCCCCTAATTATGAATATAGCCCCAATAGCACTTTCAGAGCACTTTCGAGTTTGAGGGAACTGGAACTAATGTTGGCCTAATGGCAGTGGTCAAGTTCTGAATTTATGAGTTCTAAAGAAAATGTGACTTTGCATTGCAGTGTTACAATAGGAAATTAACAGCAATTTGATACCCATTATAAAACATTCCAGTGTACAGCTAATTACTCAATCAGACAGTACTAATTAACGGACTGGCCCTTGGATTTTAAACGAGGTAGAGCCACCCTACAGGAACTAGATCTACAATGCCATCACTACTGGTCTGACATCATCACGTGTAATTGTGTCTGCTGTCAAAACTTTGGAACGCTGAGGGTTTGGCCAGTTTCCTCATGGACAGCGAGTCTGTTTTACCCTCCAGTCTTGCCCCGGCTCTGGCCTTCTGGAAAGGATTCTTCGAGCTCCCACGGCCCTTGTCCATTCTCTCACTTATGGAGAAGCTCTTTCGAGAGTAGATGTTGGAGTGCGACTCCTCCGAGGAGGAGCAGCTGTTTGCTCGTTCTAGTCTAGAGGTCGGTGAGCAAAACGGGCCCGGTGCGAGGCCCAGGCCCAGGTCTGTGCCCATTCCCCCGCTACTGCTACTTTGACCCCCCTTACCTGTATCTGCAGAGCCCTCTGCCAGTTCCTCTGGATCAGACTCGGCGTGACTGAGCTCGGCGTCTCTCTCAGGGTGCGAGACGCCAAGGTCCTGAGGCTTATCGAATGTGAAAGAGCCTCCGGGGGAGTCAGACCGCTCTGGGACAGGATAAGGGGTAGAGACGCAACGGATGTCTATGCAATCTGTGATGCTGGTATATTCGGCTGCCTTCACCTGCACACCCATGCCGCCATAGTAACCACGTGAAGTGAACATCAGGCTATGCGACTTAACCATCGATGGCTCATCCAGAAACAGAGGCCCTGCTGCGGATAGGAAGCGACTGCTCTTGGACCGCTCCAGCATGCCAGCTGATGGCGGCGGCGAGGGGTCCAGGTCCCAGGGGGGCAAGTTATCTGGCAGCAGGTGGGCAGAGCAGAGTGATAGGTCAGCGGCGGCGCTGTCCTCATATAGGACCGTACCGTCCGACTGTCTTTCGCTGCCCCCTGCCCTACCACTGCAGTCTCGCCCCCCTGAGAGCACGGCCTCCATGATCTCAGAATGTAGAGATGAGTCTCGAGCAAGAGTTGGAACTGTCCGGACCGGCTCCAAGAAGCTCTCAGTAGGCGGGATGTCCTCTGAGGCAGAAACATAGATGTCTATGCAGGAAGAAGGGCGAAGTTGCTGCTGCACAGATAAAGTATTCAGAGGTGTGGGCTTGGACTCTTTGGGACCTGCTCCCGAGGACACAGACTGTGAGCTGTTGGCCCGATGGAGGCTGAACAGTCTATCTTTAAAGAAGCCTTCCCCCCGATCTGCTCCACTCCTATCTTTGGAAGAGTGGCTCACGTAGAAGGAGTGACTGCGGACACGTGGGGCCAGAGCGGTTGGAGATGTAGGAGAAATGGACTCCTCGCCACCCTGCTCCAGAGACTCCTGTAGCCTGTAGGAATTGCCTTCTTGGCTGTTGAAACTGCTCTGGCGCAGGATGTAATTTGTATCTGTGCAGTCAGATGATGTCCTGGACCGGGCTTTGTTGACTTCGCCTCGATCCATACCAGCAACCCGCTCCAGTGCCACAGCAATGCGGCCGATCATCTCCTCCATCTGAGCGAGCCGGATGTCCACAGTCTGCAGGGACGCTTTCATGAAATGTTCCCTCTCATTCACCTCCTCCAGACGCATCGCCATGTTCTCTACCCTGAGTGATCAGACATTAGATGATTGCATGAATATTAGGCCATCTAGTAATGTTGTGTTGGTCACACTTTACATCATTGTCTTTGTTAAATACACTGAAAATAAATTAAACTTTTGATCACCAAAAATATAATTAAAAAGTCACGGTAATGTTTTTTTCATTGATACAAAATACATTTCTATTTCAAATAAATGTTCTAGTGATAAAAAAAAGTATTGTGGTTTGCACAAATATATTAAGGAGCACAACTGTTTGAACAGTTATTTTAAATTGTAATAATATTTCACAATAGTATTGTTTTTACAGTATTTTTAATAAAGGGTATGTAAAGATGTAGCACCAATGACTAGTCCCAAACACATGAATGAAATAACTTCTTGTGGTGAAAATGTGTAGATCCAAAAAAAAACTAAAAAAATCTGAAAAAAGATCCGCACACGAAAATTGGCCAAAAAGCTCACAAGATTTTATTATCCAGAGGCCACAATAAAAGTGCAAAAGTGCGCAAAACGTTTTCGGGTTTAACCCTTCATCAGTGCCATGTGTTTCCAAGCATACACCTGCGGTCATTTACAAACAAACTATGCACTTTATTGTGGCCTCTGGACAATAAAATCTTATGAGCTTTTTGGCAAATTTATGTGTGGAGATCTTTTTTCTGATTTTACAGTATTTTTAATCAAATGAATTTTACTAATGAACAAAATCAATTTGTAAAAATATTTTTGTTGTTATTTGTATTGCATACATTTAAATTAAAACAGCTTTTCAAACTGGGGTTCTAGGACCCTGAAGGGGCCACAAGAGGATGCTAAATGGTCAGCAGAACATTTGAGGTTGTCAAAGTAAATGTTAACTTTAAATATTTATTAAATATGTTTATAGAAAGACTTTACAATAAGGTCTCATTTGTTAATATTAGTTAATGCATTAGCTAACACTGACTGCTAGTAAAAATTTCATTGTTTATTGTTTGTGCATGTTAGCATTACCTAATTTTAAAAGAATACAACTTTGTATTTGTATTTGATTTTTAAAAAGTATTAGTAAATGCTGCTTTGGAAAAATATATATTTGTAACTGAATTAATAATGTTTCTCTTCAGGTTTATGCATCTAACATTATATACTCTAATAATATTTTGATGTACTGTCAACTTAATACTAAGTAAATATTTCTCAAATTGTTTTTTAAACATTGGCTTTAGCTTCACTTCAGTTACAATGTAAAAGCCAATAAATGAATTTTGAAAACAACACTGAGCAAAATATTACATGAGATATTATAAAAACAAAGTATGGATGTGTATAGATGGAAATATATGCCTATTATATTTCAGGAAGAGGGTCCCTCGCAAGGGGCTCATCATATTTGGGGGTCCTTGCCATAAAATGTCTGAATACCCCTGGTTTAAAATACATTCTACAGTGTTAATATTCTTTTGTGTTTTCTGTGATGTTTTAACCTTTCAGATGTCACACGTATCCTCTCGTCATTGGAGGAATTGAAGCGATCATCTTTCTCCCTGAAATACTCCTCCATACACTGCTCTTCAAAGTCATGTACCTTCTTCAGTTCATCTTCAGTAATGAAGAGCTCTGTGGGGGGAAGAGGGGTTTTTTGTCACTGTGACTTTTTCACATTATATTAGTGAAGTCCAAGTGTTCTCTGTTTAACAAATATTTTTAAATTGTGTCTTCACCACACTGTAGCAGAGCATCATACTCACATACCTTATTATTATGCAGTACAAATACTGTGCATCACTTTTGCAGGGCAGTATACAGTATGAAAGTTATTTGAGCACAGAAATGTCTCGCTATTACGAAATAATCATGTTTGGCAAAAGATTTATCAAAGAGAATCTTTAAGTTTGCATGCGTTGGTTTCACTCTCATTAGCTGTATGATCTGAGAAAACAAAAAGCCTCCTGCTGTCATTTTGAGGCTTTCAGAATATTGCAACAGCATTTTCTTATCACTCACTCAGCCCATAGTCGCGCTCATCCTCATCATGCTTCCTCCAGCGACAGCAGAGGTGCTTGAGGACCATAGTTATGTGGCTAAAGATGATGAGAGGAGGAGGAAGGACAGGACGCTCATGGAAGGTCATGATTAGCTGGTACCTCTGGAACTTCCACACCTGGTTGGAGATGGACTTTACTTCAAAGAATGTGTTACTGTGAGAATGAAAAACAATATTAGCAGCATACAACATTGTTTCACTGGTCTGAGCTTCAGATGGCATGTCCACATTCTATTGGCTGACTATGTGATGATGCGTAAAAAAAAATCTGGAAAGCACTGGAAAAAAAATTGCAAGCTACAATCAGATTTCCTGACTTAATATGCATGAGTTAATTATGTCATTAGTCAAAAGGCTGGTCATGTGAGATATTCATATGACATGGTATTTATTTACATGGTAAAATAATGCCATAGCACTGTTATTTTAATGTTCTTAAACAATATGGAATTAACATGATGCAGTGTATAAAAGAAATAGTAAAACAAGGACAAAAAAAAATAAGGATTCAATATGAAGTATAGTCATATTTTTATTAAATATGACTATTATTATTATTTTTTTAATCATTATTAAAATATAATTGCAAGGATATAAGGATTTTTGCCATTGAAAGTTTTGGTTACACTTTATAATAAGGTTCATTAATCAACATTAGTTAACTACATTAGTTAACATGAACTAATAATGAACATCTACACAGCATTTATTAATCTTGGTTAATATAAATTTCAACATTTACTAATACATTATTAAATTTTGTATTTGTTAACATTAGCTCACTTTATAAATCTGTAACAAATGTTTTGTTCATTGTTACTTCATGTTAGTTAATAGGCTACATTAACTATTAACCTTATTGTAAAGTGTTACCAAAGTTTTTTTTGTTCAGTTTGTCCATTGTTTAGAAAAGCACACACAATATAAATATTCATTTAACTCACTTAAAGACAGCAATGAGCAAATTAACCAGAAGGATGTTGGCCACCAGCAGGTAGCAGGCCATGATGGCGGGGACAATCCAAGCTCCGGTTTTGCAGGGTGGGAGAGTCACGATGGCTCCATCCTCTGTCGTGATGTTCTGACCACATGGAGCTGTTAAAATATACATACAACTGAGTGTTGCCCAAAAATCAATGAACTGTCTGACCAAAAAAGAAAAGAAAAGAAAATATTTGATTTGTCTTTGACAAATAGCAATAAAGGCCACTTTAGAAAATAAAACATCTCCTACTACCTTTCTGACACATGCTCAAAAACATCAAAATAAAAGAAGCAGTCAAAAGTGGGTTGTGGATAAAACTTGAATGGAAAGACTGTATGCACCAAGTTGTGGAATTCAAATATATTAAAAATATATTCCATATGTAAAGTTGCATCCCCAATATATTTAAACATATGCAATGTTTAAAATATATTGATATTAAATGTACAGCATTCTTTTTTATGGTTGCTTGTAGTTGTATTGTATTGACAATACATCATACGTTTTTTCCAAGTGGGATGGTTCAGTTGCTGTAGCTTTCAAGGAGAAGAAAGTCAGTCAGGTTCATATTAATTTACATATTTATTAGTATGTCATTTACTGGTTTCAATTTTTAAAATCACACTCAGGAGCCCAAAGTGAGAGAACTGAAGTAACAGGTAATATTGAAAACGCAAATTTTAATTTCTTTTTTTGTTAAATTCCAAATTCAAATTGTCAAAAACTCTGACAACTGAACCACGTGAAAAAACTTTCATACTGATGAGTGGAGGCAAATGCATTTTGTTGTTAAAGGATGTATATAGCGGACATATGAGATGGTCTCTTTCCAGAAACATGTTTGGAGCTTATTTGAGGAAACGCAAATGGGCACTGATGCTCATGCTCTATTAGATATGCATAACACGTAATATCAACCCAGTGGATTTTCCACCGGTAAGTTCAGTTTATATTGTGAAATGAGAAGGGATCACACTGACTTTGCGGACTACCATAGTAATGGGACATCATTTAGTGCTAGCTGGCTGTGGGAGGCTCATGATGGTAACTTAGCATTATCCAAGTTTCAAGTTTCCATGATAGGGTTTTAAAAAACTGCAATTGGACCTAAACAATTTATTATTGTCATAGCACCTTGAACATTTCCCCCACCACGGAAACCTGTCCATTAGCCTTGCAGTGCCGTGCAGGGGTGTCATACACTCAATGACCATCAGGGGACGGAGATGAGGTGATGACATGATTGTGAAATTAGAATGGCTCTGGTGACAGAGATATATCTAGCAGAATTTATATATTGGAAATTGCCTATATGGGATGGACCACTGCTACGCCCAGGTCCATGAGTGCGAAAGTAATTTTCGACCAGCCAGAGTTTTTCATTCACTTTGTGCTGTAGCTTCCTACTATTCACATCTGAAACAAAGAACGAAAGCGTTATTTCAGCTCTCTTGTCTTTGGGCCATCAATCTCTCAGCGCGCGCACACACACACAAACAAACAAACAATTGAAAGTATGCAAACAACAAACATACACACACTACTTAATGAGAAAACAAAAAGAGACGCTTATCCACGTGACCGAGGCACTACATTGCTATGAGTGTAGGGCTATTGATTTATTTCAGGCACAAGAAATAGCATAAATCTGACAAGAAAGAATAACAACAATATAAGCGCTCAGGTTTTGCAGCAGTAGAGTAAGATGGTCCAGGGGTAAGATACAAGTCAAACATCTTTATTATTCACAACCTATAATTAGGTAGAATCGTTCAATTTGATCATTGCTGCTACTATCGTCACATTCCTTCCAACTTTTAATATATGTAATTTAAGAAATTATTCACCTTTTATGTATCCTTTTGACTGTGATTCTATGATTTGATTGTCTTTAATTCACTTTGAGTGAACTAAACCTGATGCATGGTTCAATAAAATTTGAATATTTTTTTTTTACAAATATATTTAGATTGTATATGCTACAGTTCAAAAGATAGAATATAATTTTTTCCATCAAGGATGCATTGAATTGTTCAAAATTTACAGTAAAGACTTGTACATTACACACACACATATATATATATATTAAGCAGTACAACTGTTGTAAACATTGATAATAATGAGAATATTTGAATATCTGAAGGATCATGTGACTGAAAACTGGAGTAATGACTGCTGAAAATTCAGCTTTTCCATGACAGGAATAATATGCATTGTAAAATATAAAAATATATATTAAAAAAACATTTATTTTAAACTGTAATAGTAATGTACAATATTACTGTTTTTACTGTACCGGTATTTTGGATCAAATAAATACAGCCTTGGTGAGCGTAGGAAACTTCTTTCAAAACCATAAAAAAAAAAAAAACATTACAACCCAAACCTTTTGAACAGTAGAGTCAAAAATGATGTCAGGCGTACATTATACATCCCAGGGGAGATTTTACTCCAATGCCCATTTATATGATTTTCAATTTCACGCTCTAACACAATGGTTCTCAACTGGGGATCCACAGAAAACTTCTAGGAAGGCTGCACATTTATATTATTTCCTTTAATATTACAATACTTTAACTATTAAAATGCCAAACCGTGATATAATATTCATGTCTTTGCTGAAAAAAATAAAACATAGCATCAACATTCATTCAGACAATTTTTATTCTGTACCCACAGAATCATGAAAAAAAATAAAATCAAAAATCATGAGAATAGGGTTAAATATGGCTCAGTTAAAATTATGTTTTTCCACCCTAAGCTCTGGGGATGAATAATATAGATGATATAATATCAGATCACAAATTCTAAAAGGTAAATTACCCATTGAAACATAAGAGTGTTTTTCTTAGTCAGACTTTTGCTGATGCTCTTCTTCTGCAGTTTTACTATGAACAATTGGGTCTTAAAACCTTTTTGAAACAGCAGAAGCACTGTTTCGTATGACAATATAAGTGCAGCCATTTACAGAATATGAGACCATTTAGAGAACATACACAAGCACTATACATCACAAAATTGGATCCACATATAACCGTTTCAGCTGTTAAATGCAAAGCTTTCATCATATTTGTGTGCACATTTATGCTATCAGATAACAGCTTACCATATTTGTTCGTACAAGGGTTAGTTCACTCAAAAATGAAAATTATGTCATTAATTACTTCAGTGAGTAATTCCTCCAGAAAACTGGATGGGCCAGTTAAAATAAGCAAAAAAAAACAAAAACAACGGGTTCCCCTTCATCTCCGTTTCAGCGCTTTTCTGCGGCACTAAGGACAGCGACTCAGAAGCCTACCTGTGTGGCTCTTGTGTCGCTGTCCTCAGCTCAGTGCAGTAACGTTAGCCTAACTGGGGGGTCGCACACTGGACAAGAACCGCAGCGATGTGCCGCGTCGCGTATAGGACAACTCAAGGTATCGCACACTGGACCCGCACTTTCTCAGTTTATGGCCAGCAATACTGTTATGTTTAAGGACATTATGGAATTAAGATAATGTCTGTACTATGTTATGATTGTACTGTACAATTAAATACAATCGTTGCTGACTTTCCAGTCTGAACACTTTACCTCAGAGCGTTCGTTAACTGAATGAATTGAGAATATCAGCTGAAAATTCGATAACATCAGCAATTTTCATTCAAGCAGCTGATTTCTGTAAATGAATATAAAACTAAATGTATATTGCAGCACAGGGTGAAGTCAGTATATACATTAACGACGATTTGAGACAAATACATTTAAATTTAATATAAAACAAATGGCGCGGCAGGATTTTGAACAAGGTCCTGAGCCGTTGCTGGGCGCCGCAGACAGACGACGAATGGCGCCGCCGGTGTGTACACTCATAGAGAATAATGTGTTTGAATTTTAAAGACGCGGCGCTGCACTTCTCGTCCGGTGTGCGACCGCCTTAAGTCACACGTGGGGTAGAAGCCACTGATTGGTTGAGAAGCTTTCACTCAGAGCTTTCCTCGGGCTGCTAGAATGAAAATCACTCACTACTCACTATAGGCCTGGGTCAAAATGGGCGGGCCTGGACCTAAAATGGGTGGGCCCAATGGTAGCGCCGCGGGTGATGGACAGTATACCGTACATATATTTTCAAAGGAGGGACAGAAAGCTCTCGGACTAAATCTAGAATATCTTAAACTGTGTTCCGAAGATGAACGGAGGTCTTACGGGCTTGGGACGACATGAGGGTGAGTCATTAATGACATAATTTTTGGGTGAACTAACCCTTTAATGAGACATAAACCCTGAGGTGCTGTGTGTGAAACTGAGTATACCCAAAATGCACATGTACCCCTGGTAAATGTTAGTAATAAGCCAGCCTTACGGTCAATTTGGTCAGCAAACACCTCTCCGTAGATCATCCAGTATGGCATGAAGAAGATGTTGCGTGCCAGCATCCAGGATGGGTCCTCATTGGGATTGAGAATTGCCTGCCGCGCCACCCCGAAACTCATCAGCACCACCAGCATGATTATCACAAAATACATCATGTCAATCATCTACGTTCACCCCGGATCATTGAAGAAGGTGAAAGGAAGGAAAGAGAAAGATCAAGAGTGTTAGGAACTGTTACACATCTACATAAGTAATTTCAAATTGCTGTCAGAGTTCATTATTAAACCGATCAATCAGTCTCCCTCACCATCTTGCCAATCATCATGACGTATGGACCCAGGTATTTGTTCACTCCGAAGATATCAAGCAGTCGTATGTACCAATAAATGATATTGACGCAGTAAATGACCCTCCCATAGCTCATCAGGGGCGGGTCTTGTAGGCGAAGCACCATCCCAATGGAGAAGATGAGGATGGCCATGAGGTCAGTGACGTTCCAGTACTCCTGTAGCCACACTTTCACCTTCTGCAGGAGCTTCCCCGGCTCTGACATGAGGATCTAAGGGACAGGAGAGAGTTAAACAGTGAAGAACATGGTGAAAGCCCTCATGTTGGACAAATGAACTTTTCTAAACAACTGTAAACCAAAAACAGCAAAACAGTAATATTGCGACTTTTAATTGTTTAATTTAAAATAAATGTTTTTGATTTTAACATTTTTATAAAATGTCATTTATTCCTGGGATGACAAAGCTGAATTTTCAGGATGGACATGGACAAATGAACTTCAAAACAACCATTAACCACCAGACAAGAAGCAAAAGTATTTGCATTTATTAATTTCCACAAGAGGGCAGTAATAGACTGTTTATTTGAAAGAGTGCACATTCTGAGGTCTCCTCAACAGCAAGTTTTTAACTGAATGGCAGCTGTGTAATTATATGCAAATGTAATTATTAGACATTGCCTATGAATAATAAATAATCTTTTCCCACATTTCAGGGATCGAAGGAAACAATATTGTTTTCTCACTGAGGTCTAATGAAGACTCACCTCTCTCATCTTCTCTATGCCATTAGTGAAGATGTAGGCAATAACAATCCACTCCTGAGGAGAGGGCCACAGGTCCATCTTCACTAGCACAATATAGTTGAAGAGCATCAAGTACCCTACATAGGCCAACTGTGGGAATACAGAGGATCATGATTTGATTAGGGAAAATAACCCTCTTTGGTCGGTTTCAGCTCAAACAAAGGAGTTTATTAAATTCACAGAGAATACATGATAATTCTGATTTTCATTATGTTAGATTTACTTACACCAGAGTTATTATAGTTTTATAGTTTCTATTTTATTTTTCAATACTTTTTAAAAGTTTGAATCAGTAAGATTTTGAAATAAATTGAATAATTTTATTCAGCAAGGAACATTAAATTGATCTAAAGTCACAGTAAATATTTCTTTGGGGTCAGTAAGATGTTTCTTTTTGAAGAAATAAAAAAGATGGTAATAAATTGATCAAAAGTGACAGGAAAGACATTTATAATGTAACAAGATTTCTATTTCAAATATATTCTGTTCCCTTTCAGTCACTCACGTTCGACATAGTCTGTGAGTTCTCGTCCGTTTCGACGGGCAGAGCTTACAAAGCCTGTGGGCAGGCCGCCTCCTCTGTGCGTGCCATGGCGCTGCTACAGGTCTATCAGGCCAGGGCACTCATGGACATGCACGAGGGTAGCCCAGACCGTGCGCTAATAGGTGAGCACCGCACTGCATCCGACCTCGCCCTCCAGGGCATGAGTGTCGTGGCGAGCGCGATCGGTCTGGCGATGTCCACCTTAGTGGTTCAGGAGCGCCATCGTTGGCTCAGCCTGGTTGATATGGCAGATGTGGAAAAGGTTCGGTTCCTGGTCTCCTCAATTTCCCAGGTTGGGCTAGTCGGCGACGCGGCGGAGAACTGCGCCCAACAGTTCATTGCTGCCCAAGCGCAGACGGAGGCCATCTGGCACATCCTGCCCCGGCGGCCCGCTGCTGCCTCCACTCCGCAGCCGGTGGAAGTTTCACCGCCTGCTCGTCGCTGAGGGCGTTCCCCTGCCGCCGCTCCCACTGAGCCTTCGCAGCAGCCTCCAGCCAGGCCTCAGCATGGAGCCGGCCGAAGTAGGGACGCCCAGCGGAGTCCGGGTGGAGTCTTCGTTTGTGTGTGTGTCTGTTCCACCGCTGGCTCCCAAAAAAGCGGAGCAAGCGGTACCCACACTTCAAAGAAAGAGCAAATTCATCTGTTCCTGGGTCCCAAGAGGGCAAGTCTGGCGGTGTGCGACCCTGTAAAGCCTTGCACCCCTCAGCCCCATCTTGTTCACCAGCACGGCCGCTGGGTGCGGTTCGAGGACCCGGTCATCCGCCTTCTCACGCATCCCTGGCCGTCTCATGGAGACAGTTAAGGGTTGTGCACCACACTCAGACCCTGCTTTGGGCCGCCTTCGGGCCTTCCGAGCCGGGTCCCTGTCCTCCACCTCGCTGCCCCACCTCGGGTATGTCTGTGGTCCCCTGGCCTCTGGCCCCTGGCCCGGTTCGTGGAAGCCAAAATGCTTCCCAACCGGTCCAGATGGCCCCAAACTATACTATCAGACTCGGCTTGCGATTCCTTTTCGCTCGGCTTCCACCCAAGCTCAGTGATGTTCATCACACCTAGGTGTTGAGCAAATATGCTGCTAAAAATAGTGACTTTAGTCACACCTAAGTGTTGAGCAGTGCTCCTGTCTTGTGTGCGCACATCGCAGTCTACTGGCGAAGGACGCGATGTAGCCGCTCCCTCCAGCCGATATGAAGGCCGGCTTCTATAAGCCCGTACTTCATTGTACCCTAGAGAGGTGGGTCACGACCATCTTGGTACTGTGTTAATTGAGACGGGCCCTTTTTCGAAAGCCTTGCACGCATTTTCGGTCAACGAATCATGCCTGGAATTCGGGCCGGCTAACTCTCATGAAATCTGAGACCCCGGCCTGGATATGTGCCCAAGGTTCCTACCTCTCCTACGGGACCAGGTGGTGAGCCTGCAAGCGCTGCCCCGGAGGAGGCAGACCCAGCCCTGGCTTTTCTCTGTATGTCCGCTCCATTGCGGTTATACGTGCTCAGAATGCAAAGCCTGGACCTCAGACCAGCTCTTGTCTGTGACGGAGACCAGCAGAAGGGAAGGCTGTTTCCAAGCAGAGGTTGGCCCACTATGTGGTTGCCTTCATCTTGGTGAGAAAGTTTTCCCAAGATACACGTGTCCACCTGGGTGGTGAGCTCCTCCTAAGTGAGAGTATTGCTCCCTCCTAGGCGTTGACACAGAGTGCCTTGCTGAACAGATGTTAAATAGAGTTGGGGGCTGGGCGACACCTATCACTTTCGCTAGAGAACTAGCCTATGTGTTGAACCGCTGCTTCCCGTGGGCTCCCTTCACATGAAGCCAGTTTCACTGTAAGCCCGGTTCGAAGTGTCGGCTTGCTGCGCCATTCCCCTCCTATGGACTGGATACGTGCGCAATTCTTGCTCCAGTAGAGTTCCCCTTATTAGCCGAACCCTGTCGAGTTCCTCCATACCCTTCGGCAACGGACGCGGCGGAACGTCCGAAGCCAGACCTATCACTCGTATGCACTGGTGGAAACTGTGTTAGGCTGAGTCCATATGTTGTGATCCCTACGGCGATCCCATATGTGTATTCTTCCACGGTACGGCTCCCTGCGGCGAGCCCGTGTCTTCCCCTTTTTTACTCTGCCGTCACTGTCCAGTTGAGTCTCCCCATGTCATAGGCTGGAGCCACCCCAGTGACATTGCATATGTTGTACTGCCCGGTCATCCGCCCAGTCCATATGTATATTCTCCACATGTTACCTCCCTTCGGGCAGGATGTGGCTTCCGCAGCGTCCCTTCCTTCCATTGAAAGAGGGAACGGAGACGTAGTCCCTTCACCACTATTGCTGGACCACCGCTGACTCCAAGTTACGCTCGGCTCCTCAGCGAAAAAGCAACTAGTGCGTGCATCCACTTCCGTATTTATACCCGCGCCGCAGGGACGGAGTGTGTGATGCAAATCATGCATGCCAATTCCATTGGTTCATTTCAATAGTACTCGAAGATGACTGGCTCCCAGGAGGGATCCCATTCAGTCGACGTCGACTACGTCTCCAGGTTGCATATGCATACGCAACCGAGATGTTCTTGCTACTTTTGAAAGAATCCCGAAAATCATATATCATAGTTTGATAATAATAAGAAATGCGTCCTGAGCACCAAATCAGCATAATAAAATGATTTCTGAAGGATCATGTAACACTGAAGACTGGAGTAATGGCTGCTGATTCAGCTTTATCAACACAGGAATAAATTACATTTAAAATATATCAAATTAAAAAAAGTTATTTTAAATTGCAATAACATTTTACAATATTACTATTTTTATTGTATTTTTGATCATTATGATCATGAGCATATGATACATCTTTCAAAAACATTAAAATCTTACCAACCCCAAACCTTTACTGTATTTTTTTTTCAGTATAGCTTAGTGGAGTTTTCACTCTATCATTGTTAGTTTTCGTTTCATTTTAGTTTTTCTGTTTTCTTAGTTTCAGTAGCTTTAGTTAATTCATTTTTAATATTTTAGGGCTACCAAAGTTAAACCTAACTTTTTAATATGCTAACGGATATCATTAAAAAAAAAATTACCAGCATTAAATTACTTAGAAATCTAGCATTAATTATCTATCAGGTTTAATGCAGGCGTGTTGTTGGTTTCAAGTTCTATAATATACCATACATCACAAACTAAAAATTATTTGTCATTTTTATTTTATTTTATTTTAGTTAGTTTTGGAGTCATGGAAATGAATTTAGTTAGTTTCAGTGGTTCCCAGTTACATTTATTTACATGTTATTTAATAAAATATAAATTATTTTAATTTACACATGCATTTGGTCAAACAGTAGAAAGATTGTCACTCTCACCAGTGGAAAACGTCTCGGTTACGTATGGTAACCCTCGTTCCCTGAGGAGGGAACGGAGACGTCTCGTTGGAGGAGTTTCCAACAAATTGGGATCACGCTAGGGAGACCAATTGCCTTCGAGTGAATTAAAACGAGCCAATGAATATTGGCATGCAGGACTTGCATTCCGCGCCCCACCTGCCAGTGCGGGTATAGAGCGGAACCGAGCGCACACACATATGCTTTACGCTGAGGAGCCGGACGGTGTCCAGTCCTCCGCGAAGGTAAAGCAAGCATGGCGACGGGACGAGACGTCTCCGTTCCCTCCTCAGAGAACAAGGGTTACCATATGTAACCGGTGGGCAAAGCACGTCCTGGGACTCATAAGCCCGGACGATAGCATCCACTAACCAGTGGGCTAACCTCTGCTTGGAGACAGCCTTCCCCTTCTGCTGGCCTTCGTAACAGACGAAGACCTGATCTGAGGTCCTGAAGCTTTGCGTTCTGTCCACGTAACAACACAGAGCGCGGACGGGACAGAGGAAAGCTAGGGCTGGGTCTGCCTCCTCCGGGGGCAGCGCTTGCAGGCTCACTACCTGATCTACAAACGGAGTGGTAGGAACCTTGGGCACATATCCAAACCGGGGTCTCAATACAACGTGAGAAAGACCCGGTCCGAACTCCAGGCACGATTCGTCGACCCAAAATGCCTGCAGATCCCCTACCCTCTTGAAAGAAGCCACAGCCAACAGGAGAGCTGTCTTCATAGACAGAATATTCAACTCAACCGAAGTTAAGGGCTCAAAAGGGGGCCTCTGGAGTGCCCTGAGCACTAGAGTTAAGTCCCAAGAGGGTACGGGGTGTGGATTACGAGGTGGATTTAGCCTCCTAGCACCCTTAAGGAATCTGATGACCAGGTCGTGCTTTCCTAGTGACATACCTTCTACTGCATCGTGATGAGCGGCTATTGCGGCAACATACACTTTGAGGGTGGAGGGAGACAGCCTTCGCTCCAACCCATCTTGCAGGAAGGAAAGCACGACTCTGATCGGGCAAGTTCCCCCGGCGGGAAGAACACCAATCGACGAACAGGTTCCACTTCAACGCATAGAGGCGCCTCGTAGAGGGGGCTCTAGCGGAAGTGATGGTGTCTACCACAGCCTGTGGTAGGCCACCTAGAACCTCCGCGTCCCGTCCAGGGACCAGACATGGAGTCTCCAGACGTCTGGACCCGGGTGCCATAGAGTGCCCCGTCTCTGAGAAAGCAGGTCCATCCTCAGAGGAATGAGCCAAAGAGGTGCTGTTGCGAGGAGCATAAGTTCTGGGAACCAGGTCCAGTTGGGCCAATACGGCGAAACTAGCAAGACCTGCTCCTCGTCCTCCCTGACCTTGCACAGAGTCTGTGCGAGAAGGCTCACTGGGGAAACGCATATTTGCGAAGGCCCTGGGGCCAGCTGTGCGCCAGTGCATCCGTGCCGAGGGATTCTCCGGTCAGGGAATAAAACAACTGGCAATGGGTCGTGTCCGGAGAGGCAAACAGATATATCTGAGCGGCTCAGAAGATTCCCCATATCAGCTGAACCGCCTGGGGATGGAGTCGCCATTCTCCCGGAAGGGGGGGCTGCTGTGAGAGCTCGTCAGCTGCACGGTTGAGCACACCAGGGATGTGAATGGCCCGAAGCGATCTCAGATGCTTCTGGATTCCATAGGAGGAGATTTGGGGGCGAGTCGCGACATACGGTTGATCTACGCAACAGTCGCAGTGCTCTCCGTACGGACCAGTACATGCTTGCGCAGAAGCAGCCCTTTGAGGCGGCACAAGGCCAAGCGTACTGCTTGCAACTCTAGGCAGTTGAAGTGCCAATGCAGCTGAGGCCCCGTCCACAGACCTGAAACTGCATGCCCGTTGTACGTGGCCCCCCGTCCGTTGGCAGAGGCATCTGTGAAAACCACAGCATGCCTGGACACCTGGACTAAGGGCACTCCGGCCCGTAGAAAAGCAGGGTCCGACCAAGGACTGAAGGTTTGGCGGCAGTGCGGGGTAATGTTGACCCGGAACGTGCCGCTCTGCCATGCCCATCTCGGGACTCGATCGTGAAGCCAGCGCTGAAGCGGTCTCATATGCAGCAGGCCGAGCGGCGTTACTGCGGCTGCCATATGCCCCAGGAGCCTCTGAAACTGTTTCAGTGGGACCGCTGACCTGCCCTGAAAAGACTTGAGGCAGTTGAGCACTGACTGGACGCGCTCCTCGGTGAGGCGCGCAGTCTAACTGACCGAGTCCAACTCCATACCGAGATAAGAGATCCTCTGCGTGGGGCAGAGTTTGCTCTTGTCCCAGTTGACCTGAAGCCCCAAACGGCTGAGGTGCTGAAGCACCAAGTCCCTGTGTTCGCACAACAGATCTCGCGAGTGAGCTATTATCAGCCAGTCGTCACGATAGTTGAGAATGCGAACGCCATGTTCTCTCATGGGAACAATGGCCGCCTCCACGACTTTCGTGAAGACGCAGGGCGACAGGGCCAAGCCGAAGGGTAGGACCTTGTACTGATATGCCCGACCCTCGAACGCAAATCGAAGAAACGGTCTGTGTCGAGGAAGAATCGAGACATGAAAGTAAGCGTCCTTCAGGTCAATCACTGCAAACCAATCCTGGGGACGGATGCACTCGAAGATGCGCTTCTGCATGAGCATTTTGAACGTGAGCTTGTGTAGAGCCCGATTCAAAACTTGCAGGTCCAGGATCGGCCGTAACCCACCGCTCTTCTTGGGTACGATGAAGTAAGGACTGTAAAACCCAGACCTCATCTCGGCTGGAGGGACCGGCTTGATCGTGTCCTTCGCCAGCAGGGCGTCGATCTCTTTCCTCAAGACAGGGGCATCGACACTCCGCACTTGGGTGAAGCGGATGCCCCTGTACTTGGGGGGCCGGCGGGCAAACTGAATTGCATAGCCGAGCCGGATGGTACGGATGAGCCAGCGGGATGGAAGGAAGGAGGGGAAACAAGGAGCGAGGCCCGGGGGCGTCGAGTCCTGGTTTCCGCGCCTCCTTGCCCAGCGAAAGACGAAAGTGACGAGGCCGTAGCGGCGTCACTGACATCTGAGCGCTGGGGCGAGGGGAATGAGAGCGGCGAGGCAACGTGGCGGCGCACACTGTCATTCTGGCCCTCTTCGGGGGATGAGACTGGGAGCGGCGAGGCAATTGAGCGTCGACCTGGACTGCCAGTCCCGACCGTGAGTGACCCAGAGGAAGTGGAAACTGCTCTTTTATTGAAAATGTGGGTGGCCAGCGGCAGAACAGAAACAAAAGGAAAAAAGAAGATTCTCCACCCGGCCCTCCTCCGGGGGAAGGAGGGGTGCAGAGGCACCCTCCCGAAGAGCAGCCATCACGTCCTCTGGGTCGCCCGTCTCAGGGTCGCTTACCTCTCCTCTTGCTGGGGGGCTTAGACGAACTCCGAGCGGGCTGGGCACCTCTCTTGCGGCCGGCACCCTGCTGCTTAGCTGGCTGCTGCTTGGGCTGGGCAGGGGCGGAGGCGGCGGCAGGAGGGCGCCCTCGGCGACGAGCAGCCGGAGACGCAGCTGACGGGGCAGCCACAGCCTGTCTCCGGGCATGATGTGTCTTATCACCTCCGACTGCTTCTGAGCGGCGGAGAACTGTTGGGCGTAGCTCTCCACCGCATCGCCGAAGAGGCCACCCTGGCATATGGGGGAGTTCAGGAACCTATTCTTGTCCGACTCCCTCATATCAGCCAGGGTGAGCCACATGTGTCGCTCCTGGACCACAAGAGTGGACATCGCCCGGCCCAGGGAACGTGCGATGACTTTCGTCGCCCGTAGGGCGAGGTCCGTCGCCGTACGCAGCTCTTGGAGCACCCCAGGGTCGGTACCACTCTCCTGCATGTCACAGAGCGCCTTGGCCTGGTGGACCTGGAGGAGTGCCATGGCATGCAGGGTAGAAGCAGCTTCTCCACACGCACTGTAAGCCTTTCCAGTCAGACCGGAAGAGAACCTACATGCGCGGGAGGGGAGCGAAGGGTTACCCCGCCAGGTGGACGCGGTCTTGGGACACAACTGCATCGCCACAGAACGTTGTGCTGGGGGATGCCTTCGTATCCCTTCACTGCCCCGCCATCGAGAGTGGTGAGGGAGGAGTAGGGAGTCGATCTGTGTCTGGCTGCCAGAGGGGCCGTCCACGATCTCGTCACCTCATCATGCACCTCCGGAAAGAAAGGAACCGGGGCGGAGCGCTGAGAACCAGCATGGGCCGCCCCGAGAAACCAATTGTCAAGCCGAGAAGGTTCGGGACGCGGTGAAGGATTCCACACGAGCCCGACTCTCTCGGCCGCCCGGACAAGCATAACAGTCATTTCCGGGTCTGGCTCGGACAACACTACCACACCCGAAGGGGGCAGCGCAGCCGAGTCATCATCCCCAGAAGATGACCGCTCTCCCTCCGATGCAGCGATCGAAATCTGGTCCTCTGGTGGGGCCCCGAAGGAAACGACTGGGACCACACGAGATGGCCCAGCGCGCTCCTCCAGGGGCTCCAATGGCAGCGATGCAAAGGAGTGGGAAGCCCGCTGGGGTCTTTCACCCGGCGGGTCATTCCTCACTGTAACCCTCAGACTACCAATGGGATTAGCCGAAGTAGCCTTCTTCTGAAGTGAACCAGAAGAAGAACTAGATCGGGGAATCTCCAAAGGGACTCCCCCTCGAGTGAGGGTTCGCAGTCTCAGCCTAAGCACCGCGACGGTCATGTTCCCGCAGTGAGAACATGACTCGTTCACGAACGCTGCCTCAGCATGCACGAGGCCCAAGCAGGAGAGGCAGCGATCATGATCATCAGCCGGAGGCAGAAGTTGACCGCATCTAGAAACACACGGGTGAAACGTCATCCTGAAAAGGACGCGATCTTCACCCGTGTTGCTCTTTTTTCAGAAAAACGCTCTCTTTATTGTGAGCGATAAACGTGGCATAATGCACTCAACCGAATACCAGCTGTGACAACAGCTCTTTGAAAAAAAGGCAGATCGCGTGAAGCAACAGCTGGTACCCGGGAGATCGTGAAGATCGCTGAAGCGCCGTCACACCAACACAGAGAGGTCTCGGAAAAAACAGCAGACTCGTTGAGCGTGAAGATAAGACACTAATCTTGAAGCTCATCCACTCAGAGGACACAACCGGTTGGCTCCGAAGCAAATAGCATATGTGTGTGCGCTCGCTTCCGCTTTATACCCGCACTGGCAGGCGGGGCGTGGAAAGCAAGTCCTGCATGGCAATATTCACTGGGTTGTTTTAATTCACTCGAAGGCAATTGGTCTCCCTAGCGTGATCCCAATTCGTTGTAAACTCCTCCGACGAGACGTAGGAGTTCCCGAATGAAAGGGAACAGAAATATTGCTCAGTGTAAACTACAATGTGACAGTGTGATGAGAGATAGATAGAGAGAGAGAGAGAGAGAGAGAGAGAGAGGGGGGGGGGGGGGGGGGGGGGGAGACAGGGTGAGAGGGGAGAGGAAGAGAGGGAGACAGGGTGAGAGGGAGAGAGAGTACAAGCAACGAGAGAAAAAAGAGTAAGTAAATAACAAAAGACACACGGCACATAGAGCAGAATTTTTCATCTTCTGCAGCCTGGAGATTTGTCAGATTCATGGCCTATATTTAAAACATAGATGAGGCTAAAAAAAAACTCAGCTGTTTTGATCTCTACTTGCCTGCATTTGAACGTTTCTCCCTCTGGACCTGATATGGTATCTATTGATATGAATTGAACTGAACTGAAAGATTTCAGAGGACATTTCTCTGAAGAATTCACATACAAGGTATTTTGATGTTTATATATTTGATATGCTAAACAGACTGAACAATACTGTGTGTCTTTTTGTACTAAATGAGGGCACAGCTGGGGCTTTTACCGTGTGAAACCAGAACTTGACGATAGGGGCGTTGTAAAACTCGTAAATTTTGCGACCCAGTGGAATCAGCCGATGACGGTTCTGAACCTCCACCACCTGTTTCTTACGTGAAGCTTCTGTACTGACGTTTCCCAGCATGGCCTGGAAAAAGTATAGAGGAGAAAAAGAAAAATAGAAAGCATTGCTTTTACACACTATTTACATGTGACTTCTCACCCAGAATTGCATGCAGCTGTTTCACTGCTAAGCAATCCTGAGTCTCGAGGAAGGTGAGATATTCACTATGAGCTGGGCATTGATGATTCCGCTGGGAATGGTCGTGCGGAAAAAGAAAGAGAGTGTGAGAGTGTGTTTGAGAGAGAGGAAAAAAGAAAAGGGGAATGAAAATGCCCAGTGCCATGAGTTATTTGGACACATCCTTAATCCAAGAGTGGGGAGCTTATCCCGTAAATGGAAAAATATGGTGCACTCTTGGACATTATGGCAGAAATTGTATTGCAACAACTTTTTTTGCTGTTGAAGCTGGTCGAACTTTGCTGCATTACAATCTTACAAAGGACACACTGTCAACCTAAATGCAATGAAAACCTTTTTTTTTTTTTTTTTTTTAGCTTATGCTATGCACAAGATCTAATTTTGGCACAGGCATTTCAATGTTTTAACAGAGAAACATTACTGCAATTATACTTTCCAGAAGAGCATTCAAATAAATTGCAATACAATTGTCATCTTGTGTTGTAACTTCATATTTCTATATAATATTCATAGTGAAGTGAGGGGCAAAACTTCCTTTTTTGATACCATGTTGTATATAAGATCAGGTCAACCCAGTCACGTTCTGGGAAATGAAGTCCTTCTCAGTTGTTTTGACCTACAGTAGTAACTCTTGGACTACATTTCTAAACTAGTGTCTTGTGCTGACCTGTTTCTTTAGAGCAGTGGTTCTCAAACTGAGGAGGATTGTATGAGTTGATTGGCTGATTTAAAAAAAAAAAAGACCTACATAAATTAAATAATGTAATTGACCTAAAGCACCAACAATTACTGTAACTGACTGTGTTTAAACTAATCTGATAAAGTATTTTTGTGTCTTACTTTCAAAAGTTTGGGGTCGGTAACATTTTTACTTATGCTCACCAAGGCTGCATTTATTTGATCAAAAATACAATAAAAACAGTAACATTGTGAAATATTATTATAATTTAAAATGTTTTCTTTTTTAATATATTTCACAATGTAATTTATTCCTGTGATGGCAAAACTGAATTTTCAGCATCATTACTTTAGTCTTCAGTGTCACATGATCCTTAAAGGGTTAGTTCACCCAAAAATGAAAATTATGTCATTAACGACTCACCCTCATGTTGTTCCAAGCCCGTAAGACCTCCGTTCATCTTCGGAACACAGTTTAAGATATTTTAGATTTAGTCCGAGAGCTTTCTGTCCCTCCATTGAAAATGTATACACGGTATACTGTCCTTGTCCAGAAAGGAAATAAAGACATCATCAAAGTAGTCCATGTGACATCAGTGGGTTAGTTAGAATTTTTTGAAGCATTGAAAATACATTTTGGTCCAAAAATAACAAAAACTACGACTTTATTCAGCATTGTATTCTCTTCCGCTTCTGTTGTCAAGCCGCGTTCAGTGACGCTGATGACTTAAGACGCTGCTGACGTGTATCTGGTGCGAAAGAGCTTTGTTTACAGTCTGAGGGAGACGCACGCTGTAAACAAAACAATCTTCGCAAACATGTCTAAAGATTTCGACACAGAGGAAGACTTGCATTTTTTTGCCCAGCCATATTTATTTGAACCCGAATACACGGACGCACCAGATAACACGTCAGCAGCGTCTTAAAGGAGCACTTCACCCATTTCAACATTAATCTTTATTGAAAGTGGGTCATATATGTAGTCGAAATGTAAAAGAAATTTTGAATTTGGTGCCCTCTTGACCGAGAAAAGACAGAAAATAACTTTAGGGCGCATTTGTGTGTAAGACCACAACTCCCAGAATGCACCACGTTGCACAGCTCCGCAAGCCACTCCCACTAATCCAGAACAGCGCAAAGTCGCAAACATCAGAGAAATCACTTTTCCGTCTACTCTACGGGGCTAACGTTAGCTGCCAACAGAGTTAGAAATTCATTTCACACAAAATGTATAGTTAGTTGGCTGTGGCGAGCAGGACGAGGGACGTGAGAGCGGCGCGAGGCCGGTGGCGTGAGTGATAATGAACGACAGCTGTGAGACGCACTGGTCTCTCTCGCGTCTCTCACCGAGGAGCGGACGCATAAAACGAGGAGCGACGACAGGGCAGATCGAGAGAGGAACAGGCCTGATTTTATGGTGTGTTTTGTTTCTGTTGTGTGTGGCCAGCAGTGCGGGGCTGCTGGCTTATACTTTTGTTTTGTATTTGTTTATTTTACTATTAAAATGTTTAAATGTTCGCCGATTCCCGTCTCATTCTTCCCACAACAACGAACCCCGTTACATTGGCAAACTCATTAGCGAATTAGCAGCTACTCCTCGTTTGTATTTCTTTCTATATGGTGAATTATTGCATGATACCTGGAATCTGCATATGCGGTGCGACACTAGGATGGTTCACATCACAACACAAACGTCCGTGTGCACAAAACTCCATGTCCGTGTCTGCCTCTGACATTTCTTCTAGAAGGAATTGGCATTTTAGAGATTCTTTGCAGCAGACATACTCTAGCTCGGTGTCCATAGGCGCACAGTTACAGCACGAGCACCACCAATTCGCTACAGCGCGAGCAAGCCCGGGCTTCTCGTCTGCGCCGGGCTGGTCTCCTGTGGCGGCCGCTGCCGCAGCCGACGCCGCCGCCTCTTGTTCCTCCATCAGCCTCAGCTGCTCTTCGCTATATTGTGGCTCGTATAAATAGCCACGAACATCAGTTTCGAGCAAAAGATTTTCAAAATCCTCGTCTTCCATATCGTGTGTCGTAAATTCAGGCATTATGGTAAATCTAACTCCTTGAGCGCTTGTTAGCTTAGCTTGCTGTCTTCCAAGCAAGATGGCGGATTAATAGTTTAGTTTCTTCAGGTTTAGTCCCACCCACTGATCTGTAATAGGCCGGTGGGGTGAGTGGGTCCCACGCCCTTGAATAATAATGAGCTAAAGGCTGTAGTTTTCTTAATATGCAATGAAATTTATCTTCCGTCCTATCGTGACGCAAAATGACGATATTTACGTCACGATAGGACGGAAGTAAAACACTTAATTCCTTTTTTCTCCCATCTCAGAAAAAAAACAAGCAAAATTCCACCATCATTATAATATATGACAGGGTTTCTAACAATACAAACCTTAATGCAAATGGGTGAAGTGACCCTTTAAGTCATCAGCGTTACTGTGGACTCGTGAACGCGGATTGACAACAGAACCGGAAGACAATACAATGCTGAATAAAGTCGTAGTTTTTGTTATTTTTGGACCAAAATGTATTTTCGATGCTTCAAAAAATTCTAACTAACCCACTGATGTCACATGGACTACTTAGATGATGTCTTTATTTCCTTTCTGGACAAGGACAGTATACCGTGTATACATTTTCAATGGAGGGACAGAAAGCTCTCGGACTAAATCTAAAATATCTTAAACTGTGTTCCGAAGATGAACGGAGGTCTTACGGGCTTGGAACAACATGAGGGTGAGTCATTAATGACATAATTTTCATTTTTGGGTGAACTAACCCTTTAAGAAATCATTCTAATGCTGAAAAGAAATTACATTCTTTTGTAACATTATAAATGTCTTTTCTGTCATTTTTGATCAATTTATTGCTGTCTTGCTGATTTTTTTCTTTAAAAGAAATCTTACTGACTTAATTGACACAACTGATAATTGATAATTATGATGCATTAAATTGATAAAAAATACTGACTTTAAAATGTCACAAATTACCATTTCCAATTTCATATAAAAACTGTATTATTCAAATTCTCTGTCAGTTTATGAGATATTTATAAAATTGCACAAGTATAGCACCAGTCTCTTTCTCTGAGACTCCAATGTACTCTTTATCTTGTTGTTGTTCATCTGGGCTGTCTCTCTCTCTGTGTTGTTTAAATCAGGTTTGCTTTCTCTTTCAGAACAGTAGTGTACAGAACAGCCTTCAGTTCTCAAAAGAACAACAGACTGGTGTGTTTCTAGGAAAATGTTTTTGTGTTTGCTATTTTTAAAACCAAAATTTGACTTCAAAGTGTATTTTAATACTTCGGCAACTGAAAAAAGACACTGTACTACCATTTAAACACTTCTTTAAATAGCATAAACATTTAGACCGTGCTAATAATAAGAACGTTTTTCCATTTTCCGTAGTTTTCTTTTAGTAGAATGGAGTAATGGCTGCTGAAAACAGGGCTTTGCAATTACAACTAACATTTTCTTTTCAAATTTTATTTCAAAACAATAGTCCTGTTTTTGATTGTATGTTTAATAATTAAATGATACATTGGTGAATATAAAAAATCTTAGTGTTTCCAAAATATGGAATGGTAGTTTCCTTGTTCAGTCCAGTTTAATTGTTCTTTATTAGCAAACATGGCTCATTTGGGTTGATTAGCTAAACATAGCAGTTTTAACAAAATAAGAACAAAATTATGGATCCAAAAAATTAAGACAATTTCAAGATACAGGGTACAAATTAAGGACAATTTGTACACTAATCAAAATAGTAAGTAATTGTTTTGAAGTAGTTGCTGCTTTCCCCCAGATTTGGGGCTGTGTATGCGCTCCACCATCTGACAGTTCCAACAGTTCAAGAGCCACTGCTTTAGAGCAACACTTGATAGTTCACAATAGAAGATTGAACAACAATATTCGTGCAGTTTTGTGTGAAAGAAGGCACTTCTGGTTCAACTTAAAAGTGAAGGTTGTCATCATGGAGAAGGCAGATCAAGGCTGCTAACATAATGCAATATTGAAACAAGCCTTTAACATGCACAATGGTGTTGTAGATGTGTGAATGATAAAGACACAGCATTCAGTCACAGTACCGTACTTCAGACGAGACCCTAGCGTAAAGAAAAGAAACAGAGGAGACAAGGACAGAGGCAGACGGAGACACGATACAACTCCACAACCACGCGTCTTCGCTTTGACAACGAGGAACGAAGAGAAAGGGCGAAGTGGAAGAGGGGAGGTCAGAAAAACGGCAGGGTTGGTACGGATTTCTAAGAAGAGGAGCCACAGACTCGAGGAACAAAAAAAAACAAAAAAAAAACGGAAGCATATTTGAGAGGCCAAATTGGTGGCAGGTTGAGGACAGAGCAGAGCAGATGTGCCTAAGTGCGTGTACGTGTGTGTGCCCGAGTGTGTTAGACTACAAGCTAAGAGACGAGGCTAAGGTGGGTGCTCTCACCACGGAGTTGTACTGCGTCTCACAGTAAGATCTTACTGTGAACTCCATGTCCTCCTCCTCTTTTTCTTTAGCTTGTTTCTCGGGTTCATCCACATCCTTCTCCTGCAGGTAGGTGTCCTGATCCTGAGGCATATATGACATCTCGTCCTTATTTTTAAATTCAAGACTCAGTATGGAAGGGGGGAGAAGTAGGCCCAAGATAACCTAGTGGACAAAACAAAAACAGAGTTTGAGGGGGAAAAAAAATCCACGGTTACATTTCATTATTTAGTAGTCAGTAAGACCAGTTCTTCCAGTCACAGAATGCCTGTGATGATGAAATAACTGTCTCTCTCTTTCTTGCAACAATAGCACCTGTGAGATATGAAACGCCAATCTCACCACTAAGGTCTGAACAAAAGGCAGAAATCAAGAAGCTCTGCACAGCTTGTTTTAATAGGGACTGACATATACAGCATCAGTCTAAAGATTGAAGTTTTCTTTTTTTTACTCTCACTGACTACTTTATTAGGTACACATTGCTAGTATTGGGTAGGACCCCCTTCTGCCTTCAGAACTGCCTTAATTCTTTGTGGTATAGATTCAACAAGGTGATGGAAGAATTCCTCAGGGAATTTGGTCCATATTGACATGATAGCATCACGCAGTTGCTGGAGATTTGTCAGCTGCACATCCATGATGCAAATCTCTCGTTCCACCACATCACAAAGGTGCTCTAATGGATTGAGATCTGGTGACTGTGGAGGCCATTTGAGAATAGTGAACTCATTGTCATGTTCAAGAACACAGTTTGAGATGATTTGAGCTTTGTGACATGGCGCATTATCCCCCTGAAGTAGCCATCAGAAGATGAGTACACTGTGGTTATAAAGGGACTGCAAACCCAGATTTTTTTTCTAATTAAACTTACGAGTGATCATTACTTATTCTTTTATGTTTAGTAAAAAACTGCTATCATTACTAAACAACATTAGTTGTTTGTACTATTTAGCTGAAAGATTCATTGCACTAATCAGGTTCAGCAGAGATTACTTGGTATGTTTAGTTTCATAAGGAAAGGGAGGGGTTCAAACACCACACAAATCAAAAGGCAGAAACCACTGGTATTCAAAAACCTGCCTGGTCACGTGAAAAGACCCGCGTCTAACGTGCTTCCAAGGGTCTCGGGCCTCGGCAGCAGACGGTACTGAGAATTAACAGAGGTTTAGATGTTGATGAATTATTGTTTAATTTAATTTAAAAATAGTCACCATAATGGTGATAAGTGTTGGCTTTAGTTGGGCTCTTTCTTGCCCTTGACATTTGAACATTAGTTTTTCTCTAGCTGTTATATCTGTGTTTAAAAGGCACAATTGTTATAGCAAAAAAGCCAAGAGTAAAGTCATGAAAAGTGATAAATGAAAAGCTTCATGTTGCAAAGCATGCTGGGTACCTAATAGTACACCTATACTCAAAACATTTTTAGAATGTGATCTAATGATTTTCAGTAAAGACTACTAATGTAAACTGCACCTACTTAAGATTATAGGTTAATACAACTCAACATGTTAAGTTTCAGCTTGTGTAAAAAGTTAGGGTTCCATGTTAATACAACTCAACATGTTTAGTTTCAGCTTGTGTAAAAACTAAAGTGGTATAGGGCAACGAGTTTCCACGCGATTTGCGAGTAAAGTCAACTAAGAGACGAGTTGATACCAATTGATACCAAGGGGTCCAAAGTTTGCCAAGAAAATATCCCCCACTCCATAACAACACCAGCAGCCTGAACCATTGATACAAGACAGGATGGATCCATACTTTCATGTTGTTTACACCAAATACTGATCCTACCATCTGAATGTCCAGCAGAAATCGAGACTCATCAGACCAGGCCTTAATTTAGGCCTTTCTATCAGTTCAAACCAGTCTGGCTATTCTCCTCTGACCTCTGGCATCAACAAGTAATTTTCACCCACAGAACTGCTGCTGACTGGATATTTTCTGTTTTTCGGACCATTCTCTGTAAACCCTAGAGATGGTTGTGCATGAAAATCCCAGTGGATAAGCAGTTTCTGATATACTCAGACCACCTGTCTGGTACCAACAAACATGTGACATTGAAAAGTCACTTAAATCATCTTTCTTCCCCATTCTGATGCTCAGATTGAACTTCAGCAGACCGTCTTGACCATGTCTACATGCCTAAATGCTTTGAGCTGCTACCATGTGATTGGTTGATCACAGTTGGCAGTTGAACAGGTGTACCTAATAAAGTGGCCAGTGAGTGTACATTCATAAGTTTGGGATCGGCTGCATTTGTTACAGACAATACAATACAGACAATATTTTAATGTGCAAACTTTGATTTTTTTTTTTTTTTTTTTTAGAACAGAATGTTGATTTTAAACCTTCTTAGGTGGTTTGAAATCCAACTAAAATCAGATTGTTGTTATTGTGTCTCAGTCGTGCCTTACTGAAATGCCAAGGACATGGGTTCAATTCTCAGGGAATGCATGGACTGATGAAATGTTTATCTTGAATGCAATTCGCATATGCCAAATGCATAAACGTGAATGAGAAGGTCAGTCTGAAAGGATTTTATGTGTTTTTTGCTCATTTGATGTGCGAAAAGAGTTGCAACAAGAACAACTTATGTTCTCAACAGGTATAATGCTTTAAGGATGTGTTTTGATGGACAAGCTGATGTAAAAGACCACAGAGCATGTAAATGTTTTCCATTCACACCCTTAAGCTAGTATGCCAACTGTCCACTTCAAAAGTCCAGAGTACAACATGGAGTGTTTATATCCCTTGTTTAACTTTGACACCAGCAGTGACACCAGAAACTGTATATTGATATGTCCAGATTTGAATTCTGCCATCATGAAAAACAAGCAATTTTGTGAATTAAATTTCTTTACATGGCCAACCAATTTAATTTGCAAATCTCCCGACAATAAATATTCCTGTCATTTTGGTGTCTCTCGAGTAAGAATGATAATTAGACTAGAGATTATTCAGAAAGCTATTAGAGTACTGAAATGGCAATTAAGATGCTACATGCAAGTTGTTTGCCTCATGTTGATGAGGACATGGTAAATACAACAAAAATGACAAATTCACCCAAAAAAAGCCTCAATTTGGCAGGCAAATTCACAAATACCGTAATCTGTTGAATATCTTTATAGTCGCGATGTAACAGAAGAGGCGACGGATCATTTCTTATGTATTGTAATGTACATCAGAGTGAAATAGAATATAGAAAAAGAAAAAAATGTAGGGCTGGGACTTGGTTCTATCTATCAGTTGTTGATTGGGTGGAGGCAGATCTGAATGTGAGCTTGCAGTCGATTGTAAGAAAGGGGCGGGTTTAAGCAGACTAAATGATTGGAGAAGACTAGCAAAGAGAAGTCTATCGCTTCACCGGAAGAACCATTTATGACATTTTGATTAAAAATTACGAGGTCAAAACATACAAAATTTAAAATTAAATTTGCATGAATGAAGTGTTGACAATAAGACCATTAGATGCATTAAGGTGAATTTCCATTTCATGCTGACTTTTTTCTCCCAGATCTGACCTTCAGGCCAGAGTTCTTGCGCATGCGCAGACGTCCCATCCACATGTCAGTGAGAAGCATCTGGCTACAGGTGTGGGCGATGAAGTCCCTGTGCTTGGCAGCCACTGCCAGCTGCAGACAGGTGGCATTACTCCAGTTCTTCAACTCGTAGGTCAACAGCTTCATGGCCATCTGTTCATCCTGCTTATAGGACTGATCTAGTAGCTCAACAGCCAGCTGACCAAACTCCCTGATGAAAAAAAAAGACGGAATATTTCTGTGCCAAAGATACATTCATATGCACATAATCATACAAGATCTTCTCTACACAACACAAAACAGCTTGTTTTAGGTGTGCAAGCAAATTCCATTACAAAGAGAAAAGGGAGCACATTAGACTTTTAGGAATTTTTCTTTGTGTCTTTGTGGCCAGCTACTGTTCCTTTGATGGGATGCCAGTTTGGTACATAACAGATGGTCTCCCCAAACGTACCCACCCAAGAGTTGTACACTCAACAGCAATGAGAACAGGACATGCAGGTAAAATCCTCGTGTGTACACTCATTCTTGAAGTAACCGGGTCATAACATATCTTTACATTCATACCTTGAGTTCTGATTGAGTTCCTGTGAAATGTCATCTACCATGTCGTTTTCTGACGCTTCGTGGGCCATCGCCTTACATAGCTTACAGGCAACCAGTGCTTTAGCCATGGCCTCCTCGCCATGCTGCCAGAAGAACAGGGCCATCTTCTGCCGTTTCATCAGCACTGCCCAAACCATCAGCTCATGGAATGGGAAAGGGAAATGATTGATTTCTGGGTCATCCAGGTCAATGTCTACTTCCTCTTCTCGCTTCCGTGTGGTCTTCTGACGTCCTCGCCTAATGGGCATGTCATCCTATCATGGTAAAGATTTAATAATAATTATAATTTTTCTTTTATAATAATAGTAATAACCACATTCAGAATATAAATTATAGGTTTCTATTTTGCCCTAGTTTTGTAATGATAACAATAATATAAAGAGCAAAATAGGACAATAAAAGTAGCTATATTTATAGTCAAAATGTGGTTGTTATTATTAGTAAGAGTAAACACAAATGTAAGATAATTGTAGGTAATTATAAAAACCTCTGAACATGCATTACAAGGAGCATTTTCATTGTGAATCTTTATTACTTGAATCCAACCCTTTAAATCAAAGGAGAGCTTAAAGAAAGCGTTTCAGTGAAACTCAGTGGGGATTTTATTGGAAAGCAGTGGGATACATAAAATTAAGAAATAAATCTAACCTCCATTCCAAGCAGCTTCAGGGCTTTTGGCTACAACACACACAAAAATAAAAACATATACAGGACAAAAATATCAAGACACGTTAGATTTGATTTATGCATTTCCCAAATTGTTTTACCATCCTTCTGGTGCACATGTAAAAACATGGCATGTTTAATAGGATTCTTCATGCTTTGCAATGATAAATTTAGAGCATCTCTCTGGTGGCACCACAGATGTCTGATCTATTTCAAGCCTATACAGCCGCATACGTAGAAAGATGTATGTGTTTATGTTCATGTAAGATAAAATGTACTCACAATATTAAAGTGCATGCATAGATTCATGAATACACACTCTCAGACATCATGTACTGGCAAACTACTATTACAGATAGGATGCTCATGTGACATTGGCATGATGGAGCAGCGATGTTTCATGTACACTCAGTAACCCAGGTTGCACTCTCTGAAATCTGTTGTGCGTCAGAGGGCCGAGATTTGTGGTTTAGATGCCTGAGCTGTCAGAGTTAAAAATGTGTGAGAAAATGAGATATCATCCAGGTGTCAGTGGCTTGAGAATTTGTCTTGACGCCTGTTTACTCTGAAGTGCCGCTATATGGAAATTTGCTCTGCACCTAGTATCTAGTTTGTGCTAGTTCCATATGCCATCTCTGTGGTAGCTCAGATGGGAATATTTTTTTTCCCCAGGTGAGTCATGCTGATAGAAACTCAACACATTAAATTACATTGGAATTTTTTTTTCATTAATGGGAACCTGAGAGAATAACCTTGTGTTTGAAAAGCAATAACACTTTATTTTAGTGTTATTTAGATAGCAGAAGTGATTGACTATTTAAATGGGTCATCACTTAACTACAAAGATGTTAAAATTGAAACAAATATATAAAAAAGACTTTCGTAATATGCATATTTTAAGAATTTCGTTAAAAAAAATGTATGAGAAAATATAAAAGTTTTGAGATACAGTCAAAACAAAATACAGTCAAAAGTTAAAACTATACATTTTTCTTTAAATGTTTCTTCTTTATTCATTGAATACTACACTCTTAAAGGTACACTATTTAAAGGGGTCATATAATGCCATTTTTGTACAAGTTAATATGAATGTTTAGGGTCTAAATGAAAACTTTGTAATATACTTTTATTAAAAATTCTCATTAGTATTTTAAGAAAACACTAATTTTACCTGGTCAAAAACAGCTCTGTTTTCAGCACGCCGTTCCAGTGCATATGCCTTTAAATGATAATGAGCTTCGCTCACTCCGCCCCTCGGCGTTTTTGATACAATGCACGTGGAGTGTTGCCTTGACAACAGTTGAGGGTATATTTTGGAGAAAGAATGACAGCGGGAGTCTCTGAGCAGGACACATCTGTGCAATCGTATCAATTTGAACCGGAGTCGGACCCGGAACAAGATGACAGCCGCAAAGAAGTTCGACAATTAAGGCTCGAACAGGACGTTTCTGAATGGTTGGTTAACGTAATGTCACTTTGATCTATTTTTGTATGCACTGGCAGGGTAGAGATGTGAGATACGAACGCTATGTGTTTACTGATGTATACGTTAGTTCATTGACAGATTGACGTTACAACTAATGGTCATGAAAAACTTTTTTTCGCGATTTGCAAAGATTAATATAAAGGTTAATAAAACTTTACACTTACTTCTTCTGGAGGTGCAGAGGGAACATAAATAGTTGCTACCGATTCTTTTTTCAGGAGCTGCTTCTTGGCAAAGCCAGCTCATACTGACCCTCGTTTATAAAGCAGTCTGGTGAGAAATGATTCGCGCAAACATGAAAGCATTGACGTTGATCGTGGGGAATATTCCCTTTGAAAACAAAACTCAGCCACTGCGTCTTCAGCGGTTTGGATTTAGGAACATCAAAATGACTGCTGTGTTTGTTATTACACCCAAGAACAGAACACCACAATCGCTTAGGCCCCATCCACACTACTGCGTTTTAGTTTAGAAACGGATAATTAAAACGAATACGATCTCCGTCCACACCAGCGTTTTAGCTGCGTATTAGAATTGATCTCCGTCCACATTAAAACGACTGAAAACGCGGATCACGTGACCTTTCACCAACACTGGGCATGCGCGCACCGGTGTAAACACAACTTCATTGATAAAATTTATCCCACCATGCTCTGGGTTAACCCCAAACCGACGCTCCATTTACGGTCAACGCCGCCGCTGCACACGGGAATTGTCACAGATCGCTCGAATAATAGCTTGACTCCGGCGCATGTAGGCAGTTATAGCGTTGTAAAATGCAGAATTTACTTGTACAACAGCTGCTAGCAAAGATATACGCCATGACTGATGACACCCAATCATAGAGCCGAGCGTGAGCCTCTACTACGTCATCGTTTCTAAAGTTCTCCGTTTTGTCCCGTCTACACTAAAACGCCCTCCGGCGATTCAAAACGAAAAACGGGTCGGCAGCGTTTCTAAACTTCTCCGTTTTGGGTCTCCGTTTTTGCCGTTTTAATGTGGACGGGAGGTGCAAACGTAGCAAAAGGTCTCCGTTTTTAAACGAAAACGCAGTAGTGTGGACGGGGCCTTAGACGCCATTCTGCTCCAGCGTATTAACAATGAGGACTATGATGACAGCTCGCTCAGGGCGAGGGTGTGTTGAAACGCTGCTGTCAATCAACAATCGTGGGAGGGGCGTCCGACCGTGTGACGTAACACGGTCGAACGGGCTCGATTTGAGGCAGGGAAAAACATATAAGGAGATTAAAACAAAAACACTGGATAGACTTTTATCATTATATGATGGTTGTGTACAGGCACTGCCAACACACATTTCAGTACAATCAACTTGTAAAAGTTCATGTACCATTATATGACCCCTTTAAGTTTCGCCGCTAGAGGTCGCAAAACAATAAGAATAGGCGTAGCTTGATAGCGCCGTGAATGAGCATTGTCATATTCACCTCCACAGTTAATGGAAAGCAATCCGACGGAGTCACGGGACTAAGGCAGAAATCGTGTTCATGGGTGAGCTACTGTAAAGTTTTATTAAGATTACTGTGGTATGAAGCCGGGCAGGGCCGAGAGGCTGGGACATTTTACGTTGCTGTATTTATTATGCTTATATGCAGCAGTCGGCAGCTGCCGCTCCTTTCGTTTTGTTGTTTGTTTATTTTATGATTAAAGTTAGGTTTAATGTCCGCCTCCTTCCCTGAACTTGAACTTTGTTACAGTTATGTTTTATAACTTAAATCACATTATTTAATTTTATTGTAATGAAATAGCCGCGAGTGCTGAATTATTACTCATAGATCACTTTAGTTGACAAATTAAAATTGTAAAAACGCAGCACTGTTTTACTTGGTCAAAACAATCATAGTAAAAATACATTTAAGTGTGTTGAAAGTTATGTTATAACAGTACACTGTGGGTTCACTCGGTGGCTGCTAGTGCTATGAGACACTTGTTGCACATTGAAGCCTAAGCTCGGTATTAGAATATCATTTTAAAAGCTGGATGACTTGTGTTGCTAAATGGCATGCAATTAATTTTACTGTTTTCCAAATAAAGCTCTTTCTGAGCTTTTTGCTGTTAGTCACTTGAAAAAATAGTGTTGTCTCTGAGGTATGGTACAAACATGTTATGGTAAATAAAAAAAACGAGATTCAACAATAAGACTGACCGTATTGAGCTAGGCTATATAATGGTGCTTTTCCACTGCTGGTACGGCTCAGTACGGTTCGGCTCGGCGCGGCACGGTTCGGCTTGCTTCGCTTTTCCACTGCGTGGTACGACTCGGCTCAGCACGGCACGGCTCGGTTCGCTTTAGCTCGGTTTGCTTTTCCACTGCAGTTAGTACCGCTTTAAAGTGGGTGGGATTATAGTCTGACCGTTATAGTTTATCCGCTCCTCGGCAACCAACGAGAGGAATGTCTGCTCTTCGTCCACTGACCACGATTCAGTCAATTCTTTTTTTGGAAGTTTTCTTTCTTTCTTTCTTTTTCTTCAAGCAAGTCAAGCAAGTAGTTTTAAAACAGGTGCTACAGCGGTGGCTGTTACTGGCTATTTAAATCTAGCAGGTTTGATGTCTCGCAAATATAATGACACTGGTAGTGACGATTCTGTCTGACCAATCAGTGATCTGCAGTGTGTTCACGTCACATTTTAGTATCGGTACGGTACACTTGGAACCTCAACAGAGGTGGTACCATTTAAAGCGAGCCGAAGCGAGCCGTATCGTACCGTACCATGCAGTGGAAAAGCGCCACAAGTGAGCCGTACCGAGCCGAGCCGTACCATACCATGCAGTGGAAAAGCGCCAAAGCGTGCCGTACCGTACCATGCAGTGGAAAAGTGCCAAAACAATGATTCGTTGTCTGTGGATAGAGGTATCCAAACAGTTGCTCACCAGTCTAATTGTCACGATTTGGTCTTGTCTTGGTCACGTCTCATGTCATTGTCGTGTTTCTGTGTCTTGTCATGTAATTCCCTGTTTGTCATGTGATCCTGCCATTTGTCTTGTCATTGGTTAATCGTCTGTTCATTGTTCACAGGTGTCCCTTATCTTGTCATTAGTCTGTGTATTTAAGCCCTCATGTTTACCATGTCTTTGTCAAGTTGTGTTTCCCTGTTACCACGTTTGGTAAGCGTCATGTTTTTGTTTCATGTTTAATCTTGTTTGTATTAAACTGCATTTGGGTTCTCTATACAACTTGCCTCCAGTGGACCCCCTTACACTAATAAAATACATAATGTATTAAAGCGTCTTTGGTGTTTCCATGGTTTCTATGGAAGTAAAAACGGAAATCGAGGGTAACTTTGGTAAAATTGCTGATTTCTCTGGATTTAAAAATTGTTGGAAACATTTGAGATAATTTAAATACACAGGTCAACTAAATAAGTGGAAAGCAGGGCGGAACAAGAACCATGGGAATTAGAGATGCAACGGCCAGGGACCGGAATCGGACGATTTTCCGCATGACCGGCCAGTCAGTCTCACATCTTAGATTGCCAGCCGGTCAATTTTGTTGCCAGTGGCGCAGGCAATAACGTCAGCTGCGCGTTCTCATTCTCACTCACTCGCCTCATTCGCTTTGCTTATACTGCTTGTATGGTGCATAATTTGACTAATTCCTGCAGGTTTCACGCTCACACAAAAGGCACGCACACCACTGATCTATATAAGTGGGGCACACATAAAACGCCTCTCTGTCTCAAGCAGCTTGTGAGTCGCAAGTACCAAAATTAGTGGCTTACTGCGCTTAAACGGTCAAATACACACATAATTATGTCAAAATGCCCATCTAATATTCCAGCTGCTGTCTGTCATGTTAATAAAAGAACAAAAGACAAAGAAAATAACTATCTGCTCTTGACTGAATAACTTTTGAAAGTAATTGTAAGCATTAATCTGTATTTCATTTTTTACAAAGAAAACTATCCAGTATTATTTTACATTTGATAACTTCTATAGTTTATCATATAATCTATAGTATAAAAGCCTAATTTCTGTAGCATTTCTTACCTGAATATACTGTTTACCCTCCTGAAAAACTTAAAGCCGTGTTTATTTCATATCTTTCTTTAAAATCGGTATCGGCAGGTCACACGTACAAAAAAAAAAATCTGAATTAGGCCAAGAAATTTGCAATCGGTGCATCTCTTATGGAGCGAGGCTGGTGGCACGAGTGCTAATGAGCATCACCTGTGCGCCACACCGGTCTCGAGTCCCATGGAGGAGCTCCGGAAGGATAAAAGCAGGAGAGAAAGCAGTGCAAGACGACAGAGGACCAGGCCTGGACTTTATGTTGTTGTTTTGTTTTAGTTTAAGCGGCACTTGTCCGCATATTACATATTAAATCACATACCTTTAATCTCCTATTTTTATGACTATTTTATTCACAAATTACAAATATATTCTTATAACATAACGACTATATTTTAGTAACATAGCAACTTTATATTACTTCGTTCTTGAAATCTTAGTTTGGTATGATGCTGATTTAGAGCTACATGCTATTTTTTAAAGGGTCAATAACATACTCTTTTGGGTCCAAAAAGGTTGTGATAGAGGGTCCGAAATCTCTTCCTGGTGTAATTGCAGCGATAGGCTCCGCCCATGAGGTATTCAATTACCAATCCGATGTCAATCAGGCTGATGCGGTAGTCAGGGGGCAGGTTACCCTGTAAACAAAAAGGTTATTAATGGCAACACTGAACCCATGCTAACAGTTATGGCTATGAAAATGACAAACGGTAAAGTCAGACACGAAACACGTACTCAACTACATACAAACCCATCCACTCTCACTCCACAAACACACTGACATATTGCTAGAAGGAATCAAGATAATTGAAGAAGATTGTCTGATTCACCTTGAGGTAGATCCAACTGAACCCTGGATATTCTTGCTTGGAAAGAACACACAAGGTCAGTGAGACAGAATCATATTAAAGGGACAAACATCCCACTGAGACCAAGCAAGTCTAGAATCAGGGTTTGGTGCCATATTGAACTGACCGTGAAAACAATAAGCCTTTCTACCCCAAAAAAAAAAAAAAAAAAAAAAAAAAAAAAAAAATAGAGTGACAGAGAGAGAAAGTGAGTAAAATAAAGAGAGAATGGAGTCTAATAATGGGTGGGACAAAGAAAGACCATGGGTGAAAGTGATAAGAAGCAATTCCTCAGTTGTTAATTTAATGATTTAACTCATCTTCAGGTTTATGCCGACATTAGTGAGCTTTTCCAATTAGAGACTCCTTATCAGGGTGTCGAGATTTTGATTGTAAGACTTAACAACATAAAGAGAACACGAACTCCTAAGATTCTTCCTTTCATTAGATCTATGGGCCAAATCTCTCTTAGCAAAATTACATCCCACATCCAGCCTTCAGACTATGATAACTACAATAGGCTCTGCTCTGGTTCTGTAATTATCAACGCAGAGCCACCATGGATCTTCTAAGCTGGGCTAATTACTTCAACCTCAGCAAATACCACAATATGCTTCAACTGGCAGATCAGAATCATAGGTGATGCTGCATTTCATTTGTAAAGACATTTTGTACTACAGTAGAGTAAGTTCATGTGAAATCAAAAGACATTTTAACATGTTAGTCTCCAGTGACAAGCAGAAGATTTGAGCCTTCAAAGTATAGTATACAAAGAGAAGACTAAATTAAAACCTTATGGTTCCTGCATTGATTCTTTTCTATTTTTTAAGTGGAAATTGCAGTATATCCACACATGTCACTGCAAGACCATGAAAATCACCAGAATGCAAAAAGAAAGTAACCATGCGCCCCATTATGTCTCGTAAAATGCACTTATGAATAGTAATAAAGAAAAACAAACTATACACGAGCGACCTAAGAAGCAACAAACCCGTTGTTCTGACTGTTTTATAGTCTGAAAATCACTGAAAAAAGCAGAGGACACAGACAGAAACAAAATAGGCAACTAATTCACCCAATCTCTCTGTTAGGCTAAGAAGCAGGAAAGACACCTTTGCTGAATATGCAACAGAAATCTAACACTAATCTACAACTTACACACACTCTCTCTAACATCCACTCACACACATGCATACAGAAACACACGCATACACAGACACATGCACAGTGAATTCTTACCTTTTTCACATCTCTGACAAGGTGGTACAAGGTGTTGGATGGACCATGCCTCTGTTTTAGACAAACAGACAAATTTAACCTTTAATAATCAATTACATCAATTACCTTTGAACGGTGGTATGTATATATATATATATATATAATATATATAAAGCACTATAAATATAGTAATATTGTGAAATATTATTAAAATTTAAAATAACAGTTTTCTATTAAAATATGTTTTAAAATGTATAATTTATTCCTGTGATGGCAAAGCTGAATTTTCAGTAGCCATTACTCCAGTCTTCGGCATCACATGATCCTTCAAAAATTATTGAAAAAAAAAAAAAAGAATATGCTGATCTGTTGCTTGAAAACAGTATGAAAAAAGTGCTGCTTAATATTTTGTGGAAACCGTGATACATTTTTTCAGGATTCTTTGATGAACAGAAAGCTACATTACCGTATTATAGAGCTCTTCAAGTCTGGACAGTGTCAGGAAACGGTGCATGCTCACTCCATTCTCAATCAACAGCTTCACAAAGTCCACTCTGTCCAGCACCAGTGCGTCCAGCATAGATTGCTCTAGAGAGCCCACCTGACCATACATAAATAAAGCTTACAGGTCCAGGACACATACTACCCAAGCACATAATAAAACTGACATATAGGTGCACAGCAGTTATAATCTATTTCATGAATTTTAATCTGTTTGAAATGCAGCTACCGTGTTTAATTAGAGTCAGAGGTACACAGAAGTGCTTCTCGTCCCCTCTGCGATCAATAAAGTATCTCTGTATCTATACCTAAATGAATTACAAGCACTCAGAGGTATGAAGTTTGTGTGAGTGGAGCATATTGCCTACAGGCCACTGCTGTCCGTAAATGAAGATCTGGCTCCGAGCAATGTCAACTCTGTTCCAGGCCAAAGCCAGGCTCAGCTGATCTGGAGCTGATGCATTGGCCCCTGGAAAGACAAGCAAAAGGGCACATAATTAAGGTAAATTCAACTAAATCCAGCTTAAAAATGGCCTGGGAATATGCTAACGAGAATGTATAAAATGATGGATGAATTGTGTTGATAAATGCCTATTAAATATTACCAATTTTTCAGGGTAATGTCTTTAAAATCATTGGTATGCTTAAACACTCTCCACTCCCATTGATTTACAAGTGCTTCTCACAGTGGAGAATCCTGAGGAATTTCCGGCTCTCGCATCATTACAATGCATACCGTTATGCCAGTTTAAAAAGCTGATTCTAGAGATAAATCACAGAGGAAAGCACCCTCCAGGGTCTCTGGCACTTTGCTCCGCTCCTGCTTCAAGCTAATAAACCTTCCCCCTGAGCAGCAGGACATTTGTCTTAACTTACTCTGGCCTGGTACTTCTTCATTTACTTTTATGAGGGTAATCTTTCCAGACACAGTCTATTAAATAGACACCTCCGTGGCTTGTCTAGGTGTCGCATGTATTAAACCATATTTGCATAATCTCAGTTAAGTGCCAGAAAATATCCTGCCTGACTCCATTAATGAGCTGTTAAACCTAAAATACAGACATAGAGGCCTGTAATACCTGAAAGTGTCCATATGGGGCACTTTATGCTTTTGTATTTCATGTTGTATTGAGTTACTATATTGACGCTGGTGAAACAAGTCCTCAGCAACAGGAAGGCGCTGTATCAGCAGAGATTGGTCACATAATTATGTTTAATTAAGTCTCTGAGGATGAGCTTTAATTGCTGTTTTCTGCTGCTTTGAACTCTATCAGAGGTTAGCTTTATATTCTCGCTTTAATTTCACGCTACATCATAATAAATCTTGAGACTTTGTATTTGTCAGATATTCACAAGTGTGTGTGCATGCCATTTTGCCAAATCTGAAGAAAAAAATTTCGCTTCAAAAGTAACCCCTTATGGCATGGCAAATACTGAGCTACTGATAAAAGCATGATATAATATAAACTTGCATGTTTTCAGTAATTAGCATATCATACACTCTCTAAATCAGCAATCAAATGATTCGCTTAGCTTGCTATAAAGAAATTTAAGATAACAAGATGCATACATTTTAAAATACATGTTAGCGTCAGGGATATAAATATGGCCTAAATTGGTATAGAATTTTTTTTAATGGCTTTATGGATAGGACAGTGTAGAGATCAGACATGAAAGCGCAGGGTGGAGGGAGAGAAACGGGATCGCCACAGGACCTCAAGCCAGGAATCAAACTCGGGTCGCCAGAGGCGTAGTTGTGCTAGATGTCGGAGCGCTGCCCATGAGGCTATCAGATCCAACTCTCACAGAAAACTTTAATATATTGGAAAAAGAAATAGAATAAAATATGTAACATTGGACTAGACTAACATATATGTAATGGGGGTCACAGTTAGTTCCCTTTCAGAACACTGAAACTGTCCCTTGTATAATTTACTTAATTGGCATTAACTGCTTGTGCGAACTCAAAAATACAACATATTATCTGTTCTTTGACTATGTACCAACTGATATATGTCCCTTATACATTCATTAAGGCAAAAGGAGAGAGCTGGGAACTGCATGAGTAAATCATTCTTTAGATGCGCCGCAAAGTGTAATGAATTATGCAGGAGCAATGCTGCTGGCTTTCAGGGCAACACATGGAGCTCTTGGAGGAAAGGCTTCACTGGAATCCCATCTTTTGAAAGGGATTTAAAAGTGGGTCTTAAGAAGCATAACCAGTAGAGCTTGCATTTTGCTCAGCCTCTCAGCGGCAAAGGTCCTGTTAACCTGGCGATTGCGGACACTGAAAATCGGTGGGCGGTAAAAGGGAAGTTAGTGTGTGACACTCCTGTGTGAGTTACGTGACTTACTAATTTACATAAAGATGTTTCAGATGGCCTTCATCATTCTTTTACAACCATCAATAATTATTTAAACCATGGGTCTTCAAACATTTTCAATCCATTGACCAATTGTTGGATAGAGAGACGGAGCAGGCAAAACTGAGTGGTACATTCTACAACACAGTGGTTTCTTAACTACTATAGAGGGCAAGGGTTACCTCACCCAATCCCCTCCAAACTGCACCCCTACTAGAGGGCCTCAGCAAACATCCAAGGGGGCCCCAATATCTTGTAACATTATTTAAAATTTCTTATAATTAAAAAACACAAACTATAAAGATGTACACCAGAGTTACATATCAGCTTAGGCCACGTCCACACGAAGCCGGTGCGTTCCCTATCCGATATTTTTTTTCCCTCGTTCTAAAAATAAATTCCGTAAACACGGCGCCGTCTCCAAAAATATCTGCGTACACACGAAACCACTGAAACGAGTCAAAACGATGTAGTATACATCCCAGACCAGTATGTGGCACTGTAATTCTGCCATAGAGATACACTAAAAATGCGAGAAAAAGACTTAGAGCATGCGCATAAACCTTGCGCGCTGTAGGCTACTATACATATACAGTAAAAAAAAAATACTATACAAATTAGGCACAGTAGCTTCTTCTTTTCTTTTTTACCAAGAACTTTATTGAACAACCATTAATGGCCTGGTACAAAATAGGGAGTCACGATATTCGATTTGTTGCTGTTACGTGACTAAGCAGTGTCTGACTAGTCGACACGTGGGGTGATGACATCATCGTTTCACAAAATATACGGATTGGCCGTACACACGAAAACGCAAGGGTGTCGTTTTCAGATTTATCCACTCTGGGACCCGGTTTCAAAAAATAGCGGTTTCAGTCTCCCAAAACGCCGGATCCGTGTGGACGAAACGCCAATACGATAAAAAATGTATACGTATACAGCGAAACGCGTCTTCGTGTGGACGGGCCCTTAGATAAGAGGGCCTTTGAATATTGTCTCGGTCTTTGAGTCAAAATGAACCACTGCTATAACGTATTATTTATGTACTGTACTTCAAAAAGGCATAATCATTACTGGAGTAGTTATGTACTTGCACATTGCAATTTTACTTTTTTTTTACATTAATAAGGGAGACACATTGTAACAATGATCTACTCTAAACTATTTGAGCTTTGGTTGAATTTTATACTGTATTTTTGTTTACCTCTTAATTTGCTTTTTTCTCTGCAAAATTCAGTTTAAAATGAAATGATATATTGTATATGCTCCTTCTGCAATCCTTAGTTGGACAAGCACTTTAATGGACAATCATTCTTGTGAAGATCTGGATACAAAGGAACGAATTGGGATAATGGGCTATATGCACGCATAACTTCCGCGTTTGACGCAAGGATACTCTTGCGTTTCCGGTTGGGGAGATTTAAAGCGGAGGAAAACCAAGGAAACGGGATTATGGCAGAGTCTTCAAAATTTACTGTCCTCTCGTCTTTGAAACGAAACTTTAATACATTTAGATGTAATTTTATATATAGTTATTTTTATTTAATATAATAAACACAGAAGCATAAACAAAACGAGGAGTGTCTGTTTTGTCTGTTTTTGTGACTAACGTTTCTTTAGTATAGCAATAGAGTATAAAAACCAATATAAATTCTCGGTATAGCATTGGACTCTACGATCGGCGGAAGTAATCCAGCATCCTTAGACCTTCACTGGAAATACCGCCGTGCATAGAGCCCATTGGGATGGTTGGGTGGGTGGGTGGGATGGGGTGGAGGTGGTTCTTTCATATTGATGAACATCTGTATAACACAGCCATAATATGTTTGTATAGATTTGGCCCAACATGTGCTGTAGTAAAAAAATGCTACATTGTTTAATAGAAATTCAATAAAAACTGTTAAATATATAAAATGAAATGATATACGAGCGAATCCCCACAGATGCCTATAAGTATCCAAAAATTTACAAATATTACCTTTCAGAAGAGCTGTTAGAATAGCCAGATCAATGTCCTGGTGTCCCTCTGATCCCATTCGAAACACTGTTATCTGAGAAAGAGAGATATTGCATTATTGCTGGCATCACATGAACATCACAACTGTTTGAGTATGATAGCATGATAAAAGCAAATCCAATCGTGGTGATGATAACTGCTTAGTGTCTTGCCCATATAGTGAAGAGAAGTGACAAGAATATAGCTAGAGGGATTTACAGAAATGCGCTGCATGCACTGCCATAACCGGAACAGTGTTTGCAGTTCTGTAAACACTGAAACGTCGCATATGAAGGGCACCTTGTGGCTTCTTATGCAACGCAACGTGTGTTCTGAATTCCAGAACATATAGAGTACAGGCCATTAATCTAACGCCTGTCATTTGAACAATCCACCTTTCTTTCAGTAGCCATTTTCCATCTGTGTCTGGTATGGACTAATGAACTTATCTGTGGAAGTGGGAGGATTGGTTCAGCCTAATGTCAATAATGTTTTCATTTTCATCCCCCAAGCAACCATGAAATGATGGCACATTTAGAGTGTGTGAGCTTGAGAGGTGGTGGCGGTGGAATAAAGAATTGGAGCACTTCAGCGAGTTTAAATAACGGAACATATAATCCTTCAAAATGTCTTCAGAACTGATGAATAAACTAATGGTGCTATGCTTATGTCTTGTGTGTGGTGTGGTTCTGTGTGCACTATGAAATCATTTTGCTGTTGAAATTGGAGAGTAAATGGAATGTGATCATATCGAACAAGCACTTCATGTCCTCTACAAAGAGTATAGTGACGGCCAATTACTGAAGTGACATTTATTGATGACCCTGTCACCTGTGACTGTGGAGGTGACCCAACTCTGTGTGTGTGTATGTGTGTTTTCTTTTTGTATGTGTGACTCCAACCAGTCAACCTTAAAGGGATATTCTCCCAAAAGTGACAATGTACTCACATTCATGTCGGTCCAAACATGTATGACATTTTCTCTTCTGTGGATTGTGTGAACACACACACACACACACACACACACACACACACACACACACACACACACACACACACACACACACACACACACACACACACACACACACACACACACACACACACACACACACACAACACACAACGACGAAAACACACACACACACACACACACACACACACACACACTTGAATAATGTTTCTAAGAATGATTTTCACTGTGTGAAGGAAAAACACCGATGCAGGTTTGGAATGACATGAGGTTGAGTAATTCATGACAGAATTTACAACTATCTGTTTAAATTCAACACACATCACTCAAACACAGCAGGAAAGTGATTCAGACAATGTTAGTTCTTTTCAAAATTTCATATGCATATTGAGTACACAGCTGACCTATGGGGACATGTCTGTGATTTATAAGCCTGTAGCTGAATAGAAAAAGTCAATAATGGATAATTAAATCATCTCCATGTGCCTCAGAGCACGTTTTAACAACTATAAAGCACCCATTCGATTCAGAATCTTTTTAAAAACAGGTTATGCCTCTACAAAAATTACACTGTAAAAATTATTGTAATTTTTATCTATAGACTAAAAACATGCATCAGTAAAAACCTGTTAATTGGTTAACAGTAAGTTCACTTACTACTGTATATACGAGGAAAAACTGAAATAGATATAACCTTTCATTTCATTTTACAGTAAAATAGGCCTACTGTTAAAACAAAGAAAATAATCAAACTGACATTAGAATTCTGTGCGACACCTCACATTTAAAGGTACAATATGTAAACATTTTGTAATAAAATATCGAAAAATCACTTGCAGTGTGATATATGTCCTGCAGTTGTGTACTTAATGTCCCAAAAGTTCCCAAAGATTTTTTAATTGACCGTCCTGGAAAACCTGTTCACTTGTCGCCTGTCACTGACGTAGCCTAATATCCGCGTTATCCCTGTATTCCGCTCAAGTAGGCTACTGCCATAGTACCAAAGAATAACTACTCTTTGATAGTACCATGGCATAGTACAACCATGGCAACAGACGTGGACAACTGCGTTACATCTAGCGGCACGCTGTTGTTTCGTTCAAACATTATGTACCATGGCAAGCAGACTTTGGGAAAAAAGGAGAACTAAAACCAGGATCAATATCAGCGTGGTGTTTTCGAGATGGCGAGAGCAAGCGTCCGCGACTAACTTACTTGACAGAGACGCCGCTCTTGCATGTAAGTTACTTTATTAGACAGGTGAGCAAATGTAGGCTACATAAAACTAATCAATGTTATATAAGCTCAACATGATGAAATGTTAGAATATTATCTGTATGTTATTCTAATGTTGATCTAGCTTAATTACTGCTAGTCTCAGACAGCCAACAAACTAACACATAATAACATTATAAGTTTCAACACATTCAAATGCAGTTTAGTGTGATAGTGTAGACTAAGTGAAACAGCGCTACGTTACCTCACGTTTAATTCGTCTAATAAACTGACCTGTGCGAGTATTATTCAGCACTTGCAGGTAACGTCAGTTCGGTAGAATTAAATGTCCTTATTCCTTTACATCCACGAGCTGTAGGGGTAAAATCTTTGCGTGGCAGGGGGAGCTGCCACTCGACCGGCCACGGAATTATGCGCCTGCCACTGCGTTATATGCGCCTGCCACCCGACCAGTCACAGATATATGCGCCTGCCACTCGACCAGTCACAGATATATGCGCCTGCCACTCGACCAGTCACAGATATATGCGCCTGCCACTCGACCAGTCACAGATATATGCGCCGGCCACTCGAACTTACACAATATGTAAGATAGGTTTTCAAACCAAATGCAGCGCATAACCCCTGAAGCCAGCGGGAGACAGAACGGTATGCACTATAGGTCAATATTCACCATTAACCAAACGCTTTTCGCCTGCCTCACAACTACTGTAGGCTACTCGCTTTTTTTTTAAATGAGCACCAGTCTCGTGACATAGACTTATGCGCCTGCCTTAAAATCTCTCACTGTTTTAATATACCAGACGAACCCACAGGCAGTGCAATACTTATCTTATTTATGTCTAATTGTATCTCTTTTTTATTCGCTCTTTTTGCCCATAGAGAGCGCGTCTCTTGGCTCCCGCCAGGACTACTAAAGCGTCACACCAGCCAAACGATCTCTCTCTGTATACACCTATCAGACACTCCTAATGGTACACGAGAACATGCATACAGTGTAAAACAGATCTTATCTACCTATTTATCATCTGATCTTATATTTTATTCGCTCTTTTTATGCGTATGGGAGTGCGCTCGCGTGGCTCTTTTAAGCGTCGCTCCAGCCATACCCGCCACACGATCTCTAACTGTTTACACCTATCAGACACTCCTAATGGTACATGAGAGCACACATACAGTGCAATACAGATCTTATCTACCTATTTATCATCTGATCTTATATTTTATTCGCTCTTTTTATGCGTATGGGAGTGCGCTCGCGTGGCTCTTTTAAGCGTCGCTCCAGCCATACCCGCCACACGATCTCTAACTGTTTACACCTATCAGACAATCCTAATGGTACATGAGAGCACACATACAGTGCAATACAGATATTATCTACCTATTTATCATCTGATCTTATATTTTATTCGCTCTTTTTATGTATCGTAGTGCGCTCGCGTGGCTCTATTAAGCGTCGCTCCAGCCATACCCGCCACACGATCTCTAACTGTTTACACCTATCAGACAATCCTAATGGTACATGAGAGCACACATACAGTGCAATACAGATATTATCTACCTATTTATCATCTGATCTTATATTTTATTCGCTCTTTTTATGCGTATCGTAGTGCGCTCGCGTGGCTCTTTTAAGCGTCGCTCCAGCCATACCCGCCACACGATCTCTAACTGTTTACACCTATCAGACACTCCTAATGGTACATGAGAGCACACATACAGTGCAATACAGATCTTATCTACCTATTTATCATCGGATCTTATATTTTATTCGCTCTTTTTATGCGTATCGTAGTGCGCTCGCGTGGCTCTTTTAAGCGTCGCTCCAGCCATACCCGCCACACGATCTCTCACTGTTTACACCTATCAGACACTCCTAATGGTACATGAGAGCACACATACAGTGCAATACAGATCTTATCTACCTATTTATCATCTGATCTTATATTTTATTCGCTCTTTTTATGCGTATCGTAGTGCGCTCGCGTGGCTCTTTTAAGCGTCGCTCCAGCCATACCCGCCACACGATCTCTCACTGTATACACCTATCAGACACTCCTAATGGTACATGAGAGCACACATACAGTGCAATACAGATATTATCTACCTATTTATCATCGGATCTTATATTTTATTCGCTCTTTTTATGCGTATCGTATAGTGCGCTCGCGTGGCTCTATTAAGCGTCGCTCCAGCCATACCCGCCACACGATCTCTCACTGTTTACACCTATCAGACACTCCTAATGGTACATGAGAGCACACATACAGTGCAATACAGATATTATCTACCTATTTATCATCTGATCTTATATTTTATTCGCTCTTTTTATGCGTATCGTATAGTGCGCTCGCGTGGCTCTTTTAAGCGTCGCTCCAGCCATACCCGCCACACGATCTCTAACTGTTTACACCTATCAGACACTCCTAATGGTACATGAGAGCACACATACAGTGCAATACAGATATTATCTACCTATTTATCATCTGATCTTATATTTTATTCGCTCTTTTTATGCGTATCGTAGTGCGCTCGCGTGGCTCTTTTAAGCGTCGCTCCAGCCATACCCGCCACACGATCTCTCACTGTTTACACCTATCAGACACTCCTAATGGTACATGAGAGCACACATACAGTGCAATACAGATCTTATATACCTATTTATCATCTGATCTTATATTTTATTCGCTCTTTTTATGCGTATTGTAGTGCGCTCGCGTGGCTCTTTTAAGCGTCGCTCCAGCCATACCCGCCACACGATCTCTCACTGTATACACCTATCAGACACTCCTAATGGTACATGAGAGCACACATACAGTGCAATACAGATATTATCTACCTATTTA